TTCTTAAGCAAGTAAGAAATTTAGTTTGTGTGAAGTCCCATATTGTAAAGGTTTTTCTTTATAAAGATGATTATTTTAAATGTAAGGCTTACTCTTAAGCCTTAAAACAAATGGTTATAAATAACCTATTAGTAACATATCAAATGGTGAAAGCTAATTACCCGACAAAAAGAGAGATCGAGATAAGGTATACTTAGGATGACCGAATCACTATTTGTACTTGTGCTTATTTGCTTGATTTAATTAGATTTTATTAAATTAGCTCTTTACTCGATCGAAATATTAAACTCGTTTAACATTTGTACAAGCACTAATTCTGCCCCTCTAAGTGTCATTACCAAATCTTAACAGTGACATGCTTAGCATCGACAAAGTTGTGGCCCAATATTATCTTAGCATCGATCCAAATCATCGCTTAATTTGTTAGAAACTAAAAACATTTGTCACAGATCACTTATTGTAGAAGAAGTAGGTAAGTTATTAAGTGTTGACTTTATATGCAAATTTTAATATCTTTAATGGCTAAGAATGTTGTACTTGTAAAAACAATAATGGCTCGAAAATCTCACGCATAGACTCAAAAGAGGTGGTCACACATCCTTTAAATCTACGTGGATGGGTGATACGATTCATTATCTAAGAGTCAGGTCTTTCCTAGTTGACTTTACAACAACTCGAAGGATCCGAAATCAACATTGGTACTCTCTCATCAATTGCCAACTGCACTACAGATCTTACACATCTGTATAACTCTACCACCTCGATATTGTTGACCATTGCATTCATTGGTCTCGGGCATTGCGGTAAGTTTGGCATTCAAAGCTTCTTTGGCTTCGTTGGGAACCCCTTCCTAAGGAATAATAATTAGAGCCTCCTCATTTCCAAGACAAAACGCCTTCCTGTCAGCTTCTTTGGCCCGTCTCACTCTCAATGCTCCTTCAACCTCCTCTATGGGCTCAAATACTTTGCCTCTTGCTGGAGCACCACCTTCTTACCAGTGGAGTTGATGACTCGTTAGGTGATCAAAGTTGTCGCATAGGATGACTTGACCACCCAACGAGCGCTTATCGCTTAGGTACTCGCGGACTGCTAGACTTGGGTGGTTGTGGAGCACTCAGAAGGTCGCTAGGTGGAACCCAACCTGGTGATCCTCCTTGGTGAACTCCGTTGGTGCCTAGCACTTGGCAACCTCCTCTACTTTGCATCGGGGGTGAAGAGTTTCTTCTAGCCAAACCTGTCGAGTCAGCCTTTATTGTTGACTTAAAGCTTTAAAGAGTCAGCCTTTAATTGTCATCGTCGCTCCACCTCGAGTTGTTGCAATTTGAGAGCTTATTAGCATCAAGCATTAACTTGCTTTGACTCCTCCAACTTGGCTTGAAGTCTGGTTATCTCTCCCGCATGGTAGTTCGTATCAACCAATTTACTGTGGAGCTCTTCTCACTTTCTCAAAAGGACCAATTATAGTGGCCAAGGTGTCATGAGCTTGGTCGAGCACCATAGTCACACCGTGATGCCCCCTGCAATATTAGAAAATAGAACACAAGTTAGAATCAACAGTGAAGTCCAATGTGATGAATCCAAGTGCTTGGAACCATAACATCACCATGTCCTTGTGGGTGTTACGAGAAGGGATTGCATGTCCCATGCATATAGCCCCTTCGCAGGTGACAGTGCATAAACCCTCGATTCCATTGGGAGCCCTTTTGTAGTCTTAAGCCATAAAGCATCTTTCGTCCATGATGTGATCAAATCCGATCATCACGAAGCATCCATCGAACATGATGCGGTTGAATTTGTATCATGCAGTATCCTCCTGTTATCATGTAGTTGAATCCAATCATAAAACATTCTCCAATTATGATATAATCAAATTATGTTATGAAGCATCTTCTAACAATGATGCAATGGAAGTTGGACATGACCTAAGTGAATTATAAAGCATCCTTTGAGTTTCACGTGACTAAAACAATCATGAAACATCTTACGACTATGATGCAGTTAAATTTGATCACGAAGTATCCTCCAATCATGATATGATCGACTCCGGCTATGAAATATTCTTTAAGTATAATGTGATTGAATCTAATCACGAAGCATTCTCCAACCATGTTTTGACTGGATTCAACTATGAAGTATTCTTTGAGCATGATGTAATCGGATCTCACCATGAAATATTCTTCAATTATGATATAGTTGAATCTAACTATAAAACATCCTCCGATTATAACACAATCAAGCTAATCATATATTATGACACAACTAAGCCGACCATGAAGCTCTCTATGATATAATCGAATCTAATTGTGAAATGTTCCTCATTTAAAATGATCGAATTTGAGCGCAAAACATCATCTTATTATGATGTGATTAAGTCTGACCATCAAGCATCCTTCAATCATCATGTAACCGAATCTAACATTAAAATATCTCATAACTTTTAATGAATTCAAAGCCAAAATAATGGTGCTTGTTGTACCCGATTATTCTCTAAAAAATAGATTTTGTCCCAACCCTCTACATACTCAAATACAATAAGGGCCGATGAGGTTTCTAAAACGTGGACAATCTGGTGACACATCATACTCCACTAAGTGCCTCGTCGACTTGACAAGTCGGTTAAATAATTCCTTTACACTAACATAGACTAGACACCACCCTGTATGCTTAATCGGCTCAACACATCACCTTAAGCTCAGACGTGGGACTCCGGAGCCTTGATGTGTCAAACAATTAGGATGAATCTATAATAATAAATATTTTAATTTTATGTGATACGTAAAGTTATTGGATATGGTCTTTTCCTATAGCAGGGATTGTGAGATTATTTGGGAGTGAAGTGATGTGCCTACTTCCACTCAACTTAATTTCAAAAATTATATTTTAGTATCGGTTTAAGTTAGGCAAATCTATAAAGGGAACTCAATTTTATTGCTGTTGTTATAAGTTAGGCAAATCCAACCAGACCGAATCAATGTCATGTGGGTCCTTATTGAAATTATTATTGTTAGATTTTTATTTTATTATTTTATAGTAAGAAAAATCTGTCGATGCGAATGGACTATGGTTTAATTTTCATCTCAAATAGATTACATAAAAAAAGAGGAATATACTGCCTCCTCGTATGTCCGTTTCTACAAGTAATTCCTATTGCTTTATTTGCTACTCTACCTAATAAGGTTGTATTTTGCTTGCGTTATAATGCTTTGCACTTTACGTTTGAATGTACCTAATTAAGTTTGCTAAACCATATTTAATGGCTGTTTCTTTTACCAATTGATTTTAAGAGAATTGTATAATGATTTCGTTCATCACTTAAAATCATTCGAAATCATGCTAACTTTAGCATAAATCACATCATTATGTTATCAGATATATTCAAACGACTTATTGCACATTGTCTTATCGAATATTGTGTTCAAATGCCAACTTGCTTTCAGATGCTATTAACACAAAAAAATAAAGAAAAAAGATTTTTTTTTCTTTTTCTTTGGAAATATCTCCTATTTTCATAATTCCCCAACAATGCCCCTTTTTTTTACCTAATACCTAAAATACCATTCACTTGACAACCAATCAACTATCCATTTTTCTTTCTTTTATTATAAACTGATTTATAGGGTGAACCTGTCCCCAATACAGTGTTTTTTACATTATTTTATATTTTTTTACAATACTAAGAAAACATTGTAACACAATACCAATTTTTTTTTACAAATTTTATAAAAATATTGTATTTATTAATTTTTATAGATTATATTATTTTTTGTTATTATTCAAAATACTATATAAAAAAACCGTATCGATTTATCCTATGCATCGATCCATAGAAAAATTAGGAAAAATATATTAAGTTGCTAGGAGTATTCCATGTATTAGGAAAAAAATATGTTGTTAGTAAAATTTTAAAATAAGAGACACTTTTCGAGAAAAGTCAAAAAATAGGATTTTTTTTTTTTAGAATTTGTCCAAATAACTAACTGTGTATCAATAGCAATGGGAAATAGCTTTTATTTTTGTTGTAGTTAACAATTAAATACAAATTACTCTAATTGTGAATCAATAATTCAATGAATATAATTAAATTTGAAAGATAATTTTATAAAAATTAGAAACTTTTTTTTATTACATCATCAAATGATGTATATTAAATTTAAAAGATGATTAGTAAAAACATGTGTTATGAGATTTAATAGCGAGGTATATATAATAAGTGGTTTTACCAATTCAGAAGAAGAAGCTAACACAGTTTAAATTTATTAACAGTCATTATTAAATAAATGTAATGCATAATAATTTATGATTATATTTAAATGAGAATTAGCGGTGATTGCTTGGTATAAAAGAAAACTCCATGAGCCCATTTGGTCTAATAATGTCCGCAAAAATTAACCGTACGCGGTCACATGGCGCCACGTTTTTCTTGCCTTTTTAAAAAAGGGAAAAGAAAAACAAATTTTAATTTATTTTCTTTTTTTAAAAGTATTTTCGTATCCGAAATGACCGAAATACTTTATACTTCCACTCACTGCACCGCTTCGCGTCGTACCGCTTCACAAAACCCGCTTTCTCCATGGGAAGCTGATGTGGACATTGATGCCTCCAATCACAAGGCAGGTACGACGAAGAGTAGAAGTCGACGGCAGGAAGAGCATTCCGTGTCATTATTATTGACTAAAACAGACCAAAGCCATTTCGGCGACTGCTTTGATTACGGATTTGTTTCTTCACATCCACCCGCGGATCGATCGTTGAATAAATAGGAGACGGGTCGGAGGCGGATTTCGCATCGCTTCTCGTCCTCTCCCCTATTTTCTTCTTAAATCTTCGCGAACAACCTCCACCTCCCTCTTTCTTTTCTCGATTGCCTGTGATCTAGGGTTTCGTACGTCGCCCTTTTCGATACCTTGCTGCCGCTGGTCTTTGATTCGCCCTGACGTCTCCTTCGCGAACGTCTCGTCGGCTCCGACTGCGGTGGTCGTTTCTGTATTGTGGTATTCAACATGACGATTCCTAATTCGGAGGGTTTCTTTCCGTCGGATAGCTGCTTGCCTCGCGCTCCCGCGGAAGAGAAAGATATCATAATGGAACTGATCAGATCCTCCGAAGCCAGTATCAAGGAAGGCGATCTCTACTACCTTGTCTCGCATAGGTAACCAATCAAGTTCCTTTGCTTTCTTCTTCTCCTCCTCCTCTTGTGTTTGTAGGATCCCATTTTTAACATTGATATGCTCGATGTTATTTGATTGAATTGGCCACGGCTGGTGGCATATGATGCCTTCTTTACCCGCCTGGCGAAGCAGGTTTATGGGTCTTTTGGGATAAGGGTGTACATTTTTATCTTGATTTTGCATCTTATAACTATGATCTTTGATTCACTTGTCAGATGAGTTGTGCTGGTGTTGTATTTTCCCGTACAGGTGCCGACTGCTTTATATAACATCCATAATTGCGAGATCATTTGGTGATTACTGAATGTAAATTTTATGATAGATTCTGAAAAAATATCAAAAAGTTGCCAATTGCATGTCAAAGGCTTGACAATTGATTATATGTGATCATGCATTATCATGGCACTTTTAACTGTTGAAAAGATTTGCAAACATATCCAATGGTTTTATTTTGTCTGATGAAAACATAGGAGTAGGTACACGAGAAGAATAGTAGATACAGGGAATTAGGTATGTGGCATCTTCCCCTTTATGACTCATTGTTCTATTTTCATTAACGTAATAACAATCGGATGTAAGATGGAAAAAAAGGCAAAATTATATACATATTTATTTTCATTTCATCATATACTTATCCAAAAAAGTTTCTCTTTACTATGTGAGTGTTAATAAACTAAGGATGATCTTGAGTTTTATTAAGAAGTATATAAAACAATTAGGATCAAATACTTGCATCGATTGAATACAAACAAAAACAAGAATTTGTCCCATTGAAAATGTAGAAACTAATAGGTGGGTAGTGAGTGGCTGGGGTTTTCGAGAAACAAAGATATTAGAGTTTTTTCTTTTGTCATGCCATGTATCAGAATACAAGACCGCATCTTGTTAGTTGCAGAGAGATTCCATCTGACTAGTTGTCTTACAGAGGGGTGGGGGGCTGATGCATGAGGCTTCTGCCAATGCAATGCTTCAGAAGGGTCAATACAAGCAACCTTATTCTTGCCACCAAAGAGGCTATTTTCATATTCGAATCATGTATTAGTAACCTTATTGTGGTGCAAAGGCACCCTCCCAAAGAAATAATAGGCAGAGGCACAACAAGAAAGGGGATGGAAGGATTTTATTTGTTTGTGACACGCACAAATTTCTATTGCGGAGAGCTTTGTGTCTCTTGTTGGGGCACAACTACTTCAATAGAAGTATTTGCCCTGGAGCTACTTTACTGCCATCATGAAGTCATATCTTATACCATTGATGCACTTCTTTGTTGGAAGAAATGTGAGGGGTAGTCTTTCTTCAATTTGTGAAAGAGAACTAGCACCTAAAGCTTCAGTTTTCCAAAAGATAAATTAAGAGCTAGATTTTTCACTGGATGCTCGATTTCAACTTTCAGCTCTACATGCCTTGGAGACACCTTGGAACTATCATGGTTACTTGAACAGTAATAATCAAGGAAAAAATTTCCCAGGCTAATGTCAAAAAGATGGAACTTTCCAAAAGTTCCTTTGAGTTTCAGATTTGGTGCAATGGTGCATTAATGTGCTTGAAAAGGTTCATGGTGATAACAGTCATTATTAATGGGACTATAGTGTAGTGAATCTGTTGGCCATGTTGAATAGTTTGGGTTTATTTGGTATTATGTTTCTTAACAAGCATGTAAGATACTTGTAGCGATCTTGCTCCAAATTTTGCTTGATAAAAACGTACATCACTTTAGTAATTGTACTTGTTAGGTGATGTTTATGTAATTAATGCACCATGTATTTTTAAATGAGTCTTATACTTATTGCTTCTTATAAACTATTTTGATATCTTGCAATTGAATTGGATGTATCTTGTCATATATGTTTCTTTAAGATGAATGCTACTGTTAATTATGTTTCTTTTACATTCTTGTTTGAAGTTATGAGTCACTATAACAATTGTTTTTAAGGATGAACCAACATATGGGTTTTTTGCTTTTGCAGATGGTGGATGGAATGGCAAGAATATGTGGATTTAGACCAGTCTGATGAAAATTCCAATGAGGGCATTTTTTGCATCCCTCGTAGGCCCGGAGAGATTGATAATTCTAATCTTTTATTGAATGAATCAGTTGTGGAAGGTAATGAATTGGATCTTAAAAGATCTTTGCAGGAAGGAGAAGACTACAGTTTGGTGCCGCAAGATGCTTGGAAGAAGCTTCTAGAATGGTATATTTGGTTGTTTCTTTTCATTTTCGTTGAATCTGTTTTGTCTACTGTCATCTGGGAAACTTTTATTTTCTTGGAAAACCATCATAAAAAATCATTTGATTGTGTAAGTTGATCCTTTTTAGATCCAGCATTGACGAGAGCCTTGTGCATTGGCCATGACATATTTCTTCTTAAATGTCCCTGAATAATTAAGCTTGTTGTTCATTACCAGAGTCTTTAAGTAAAAGATTAATATTATCTTCAAAGTATAGTCAGCAAGCCAAAGTTAGTGTAGTTTAGATGTTTATCTTTAGGTTATCATTAGATGTTTAAAATTGTTTGTTGGTGTTTGTTTTCGGAGTTTAAGGTTAATAACATATTAGTGTAGCTTGATAAATTCAAAGAGCATACACATATGTACATGGTAGGTGTTGGGAGACTTTGGTTGGATCAAGGAAAAGGTTACCACTTATCACATTGAGATGTACAAGTGGTTTATGAAGTTTTGGCCTTTTGGGTTAATCCAGTAGTCCTTAAATTGTCATATGAAGAGCTGGCTGTACTGGGAGGTCAAATGTGTTGCCACATTTCCACAAGGAAAAAGAACATGAGGTTCCTGCTATTGTGTGTTTCTGGAGAGGGTTAGATGTACATGCCTAAAACCCCATGTCAAAAGACTGTTTACATAATTTGTCTCGAAAATGCTCAATTCATCACAATGGAGCAGTCATACTTTAGAGCCAAGGTCCCCTTGAATCTCAAAAAAATTTGATGATGAATGTCAGTTGATATTACCAACAGTTAACTGTGGCTTCAGCATGGCATATAAGTGTTCTTTGGAGGAAGCATTGCTGTGCACCATGGTAGTGGAGTTGTCTATGATATGCCTGAAATATTGATATACTTGGAGGCATGAATCTATCTTTTGTGGCCTCACGGCGTGGAACTGAGGCAGTCCACGACATATAATTTGTAGTACTAGGAGTCATGCTATAACCTGTCTAATGTCAATTCTACGATATTCATTGATTGGCGCCAGACTTTCTTATTTTATGAAGATCAACTATAACCTTCCATTTGGTAGTGTTTTGTTTCATGCTATAATGGTTATTGAATATACATTTTTTTCTGTTTAGTATTCTTCTTTGGTTTACTATTTGTAAATGGTGCTTGGACTTTATTTAACAGGTACCGAGGGGGACCAGAACTACCTAGAAAAGTAATTTCTGAGGGTTTTATTACCAAGAAGTTCAATGTAGAAGTTTATCCTCTTTGTTTGCAATTAGTTGATGGAAGAGACAAGTCCCAGAGAACTTTAAAGATTAGCAGAATGGTATTTCCTATTCCGGAGCAGTATCTCCTACTTTTTTTACTTTAGGTTAATCATTGCATTATTATATTTTTTTATATCTTATTGTTAACTCACCGTGTTTGAGAACTTTTTTTCTTTGAATGTTGTCTTCTCTAAGATGTCTTTGTGGATGGGAAATTCTGCAATAAAGGTGCAAGTGTTTATGTTTGGATTACTGTAGAATATGTTTCTGAAGAGCTGTCTCCTTATTGGACTATTAGATGGCTGCTTTTATGATAATATTTTCATTTTACTTGTTCATATCTGCATAGATCTTTGTTAGACATTTAATTATGTAACTTGTGTACTCACTGTTTTTCTTGTTAGTTAATGTGCTAGTCCCTTGTTTACCTTTTCTATCAAATGATTTGCTTTTGCTACCGTTTGGCTGTTGATGTGATAACGCTGCTAATGGGATGTGATAATGCTGGTGTTGGCTAAAGGCAGATGTATAACTGTTTCATTACATGGAAAACCAAAAGCTCAGTCCTTCTCTATCTAGCAGAAACTAATAGCTAGGCTAACTTTATTGCAAGAAAACATATACATCCAAACAAGAGCTTTAAGAGCTTGCAAGCATCTCTATTTGTAGGAAGATGCGTGTTCTAAGCTTCGTATTTAATGGGGATTCTAAATTAAAATAAGTAGTTCATCAAATTTTATAAAATTAACTCTGATTTCTTTTAAAGACTTGCAATCATCAGCTTTGCTACAACGTTTTGGAAGGTTCCCAATGTTTCTATCGTCCATAAAGAGCTGAAAATCAGCCGACCTCCTGTATTGGTTAGGACTGTCCCTCTTTTGATAATGGTTCCCCAAAAGCTCATCTTCAATTGATCTCTCCTATCTTGAATTGGGGACATGTTTATTAGCTGGTATTGTCTCTTGAAATTAGTCCTAGATGAATTAGCTAATTCACAGGTCTTTCTTTATGCTGTTTAAGCTATACTTTTGATGAATTGGACTTGATAGCTTCCTTTGTGAAATGGGTGGCTAGCTTGCTCAAAGATCAAGTCACAATTGGGGTTGAATCCAGCTGTTTCATATTGGTCTTTGTTCTTTATGTTGATTAATATTTGCTTTTTAATTCTCTGAAACTTCAATTTCGGGGATAGTAGCTAAATTTTATAGACATGACATGTGCATAAGAAAAGCTATTAACTTTATTATACTACAACATGAAAATTTTCTTTTACTATTCAAAAAAATTAATTCTTTTTTTCAAAATCTCTTTATGGACTTTTTAGTCTTTTTGCATAAATTTACTATTTTTTGTTGCCATGTTATTCATTGGTTAAATTTGATACACAAGTGATATTGTTTTTCCTTTTCTTAATGGTTATGGCAGTTTAATACTTGGAACGTATTCTTTCTGTTTAAAGACAAGATATTTAAAGGGGCTAAGGAAGAACATAATAGTTGTGTCCATGTGTCTTAATATCCAAACTGCCTAAGCTCAAGCCATCAACAATAGTCTAAATCATATATTCCTATCAATTTCCTTAGTAGTTCTGTACATGCAATCTTCATTATCAATGAAGATCCTGTCAGGGCACAATTTATATATCCTAAATTGGTTCTTTAGGTTTTCAATGTACCTGAACTTATACTGATAGCTGGTTGGATTAGTATGTACTGCCATACTGTGATTCACCAGGCGATACAAGCTGATACAGGTTTGGAAGTAGAAAGAAACAGGAAGCAGTTTAAAAGGATAGTTGAAAGAGAAACACCAACCTGTAGATTTGGAAGTAGAAAGAAACAGGAACCACTTGAAAAGAGTGGTCAGGAGAAATAGTAACCTGTAATTCTCAACTTCTTCGTCCTTCACTGATGGTTGGAAACTTGCAGTCAAGCTACCCAGCCAAAGATGTTTGTGAACCCTAAGGAATGGGGTGTTCTGGGGCAGGGTTGAGGTGGGTCAGCGGCCTGCTGGTTCTGGTCAGAGGGTGTGGTGGGAGGGAATTAGAAGAATAAAAAGAGTGGTAGGAAAGCTTGAAGCCAACCTCTTTTGCGTGGTGCTGAAATATTTGTCAAAGTAGGAGTTAGTTAGAAATTAGAAGAGTTCAAATTTGCAGAGAAACTTGTTGGAACAAGTCTCTTGTATGTTATACTTATGCTAGTATCTTTACTCTTATGAATTTCTTCATTTTGGATTATGGAAGGATTTTCTTATGGTTGAATGTAGCTTTTACAATATATGGAAGCAGCACTGAGGTAGATTCTTAATAGTATTTTTAAGTGGTGGTGATCATTATAAACTGTCACTAAGCTGTAAAATTGGCTGTTATACTCTAAAACATGGTTATTATTGCTTTATTTATAATATAATGCATTTTATTTAGTCTCAGTCATACTTGACTTTTTGATTGTCCCTTTGCAATAAATGTTCTTATCTGTTTATTTTTAAACATTAAAATTTTCATTGTTGGCAATTTATACTTGGTTATTTATAATTTTATGTTATATGTAAAATCTTTTAAATTAACTGAAATGACAAAAAAATCATCTAAACCGAGGCTTTCTTGATTTGACTAAAACTTAAACTAAAGCAAACCAATTCTTGATTTGCAAAAGTTCTATAGGGGTTGATATGTAGAAGGTGATTTGTCAAGGAAAGAATTATAAATACCATTTGTTTTTATTGCAACAACAACAACAAAACCATAAGTCTCAATTATTTGGGGTCGGTTACATGAATCTTTTGTTGTCATTGAGATTTGTAAAAAATCATATGCTTGGTTAAGTTTAGAATACTTAGATATTTATTTATAATTTCTATTAAGATCTTTTTAGATCCTTTTCTATATTTCTTCGGACAACTAACACACTTCCATGTCAGGTGCATAAAAAGTATAACGTATTATGCTATTCTACATATTAGAGCTATGTTATATACTTCCTTCGAATTGATTTTGGATAAAATACATATGCGTGTATCATATTTAGTGGTCTAGGCATGCCTCATGCTATAGGCTGTTTAGAAACTGTGCTAGATACCACGCCACTTTAGCTGCAGAACAAGAGGATAAGATATACTTCTTTTTTTTTCCCTTTAATAAGAGAACATAAGTAGTGTAAATCTTGACGCAGAGGATTTGTGCCTCATTCTGTGTGCAGGCTGTACTTCCTATTGTAAGGCACAATCAGATGCCTGTATATAGACCTTTTTAGGCACCAAATGTCTGCATTTAGGCTTTTGTCCATATGTGTGCCTGTACAGTTCCTGGCATGAATTTTTCCAATTAAGTAAACTGTCTTCAGTTCATTGCTTTGGGTTGTTTTAGAAAGTCAGTGGAACTAGAACTTTATTTGGCCTCAATGGTAAGAATATAAATGACATTGTATTGGAGATAAACAACTCATAATCTTCTTTCTTATAGATTTATACTTTATTGGGACCACAAATATATTTTCAGGATGCTGACTTGCAATTGCTTATTATGTCAGGCATCAGTGCGTGAGCTTTACAACATGGTTTGCATGCTTTTTGAACTAGAGAAGGAGAAGGTATGCCCTCTGACTCTGGAATCACAAAATTTCTTCATCAATAATATCTATTTACTTATATCTCAAGTTTCTTTCTTTTCTCTTTCCTCATTTAAGGTTTCAATCTGGGATTATTACAACAAAACTAAGCATCAGTTTTTGAACAACTTTGATCAAACTCTTGAGGAAGCTCAGTTGCTTATGGACCAGGAGGTAAGGATGATGTATTTATTACTTTCTAGATCATGGCTAGCTAATGGATTTGTTCCATATATGGATGAGTATAGGTATCATTTTTTATATGCTTTATGCAGAATTTAATGGCAGGTAAAGATCCATGTAGTGCTGACTTCAAATAGTGAGGACATTATGGAACATGTTCTTAACCTTCAATCCTATATAACCTGTAAAATTGTGTTGTATGGACGTTTGATAGTGCATGCTAAATTGTCTATCTTTTAATACTTTACAAAGTTCTGGTCTTTAGTTCACTATAATGTTCTGACTTCATATTTCATAAGCTAATTGTTTACAAATCAATAATATGATCATTTGTGAAATAATTATGGAAATCCTTATTCTATATTTCTTGAGGCAAACTCTGGTTTCTATGCTATTATTAATATGAAAAGAAGTTTCCACCTAAATTAATTTAAGAAAACTGAAATCAGCTGTAATTTTTATGCTTCCCATTGCTATTTTATTGACACTAAATTTAGACAGCACAGACATTTTTCTGCACCATCCAGTTGTCTTCAAATTTGAATCAGTTAGTCATTTTGTTAATTCCTATATTCACACAGGTTCTTTTGGAGGTCCAAGATGATAAGCTTTGGCCTTCCAATGTCAGTATGAGTTCAGCTGGAAATGAATTGGCTTTGGTTCCTTTAGAACCTTCAAGGTCTTCTGTTACAATTGCTGGAGGTCCTATGTTATCTAACAGTTATTCAACTGGATTTCGCTCCAATTTTCTAGAAGGGGGCAATTTTAGTTCTTCACAGAGGGACACAGAAGATAGGGATGATGTTTTGAATAATGGAATAAAGGTTGATGGTCAAGGACTGACAGGATTGCATAACCTGGGCAATACTTGTTTTATGAACAGTGCCTTACAGTGTTTAGTGCATACACCTCCCCTTGTTGATTATTTTCTTCAAGATTACAGTGAGGAGATAAACAAGGAAAATCCCTTGGGAATGCAAGTAGGTAACTTGTTGTTTAGCATATGATAATTTTTGTGTATTTTCCATTAAGGAGTTCTTAATGTTTATCAGAGGATATCAAATGGTTGCTGCCATATAGTTTTTAATTTCTGTTATGATCATACAGGGTGAACTTGCAATTGTTTTTGGAGAATTGCTAAGGAAGTTATGGTCATCAGGACGGACATCAGTAGCACCACGTGCATTTAAAGCAAAGCTTGCTCGGTTTGCTCCTCAGTTTAGTGGATATAATCAACATGATTCTCAGGTTGGTGCCACCATCTTCATGATCAATATACTATGTTCTTATATCAATTTTGAGGATTTGCCTCAAATTTTGAATGTTTAGCTTCATTCACATTTGTTATCAAATTAAGTATTTCAAGAACAAATTTGAAATGGGACATGGAACTTGTATAGTGCCTCTGTTTCCTATTGGTTGCTGCATATGTAGTCTGAAATTTTATTCAGTGTCAAATTCAGCTTTTGGGTGTATAGATCATTTTCAACTGAAGAACATGATAATTGCGGTTATTTTGCTTGATAGACTGATTATTAGGTTACTCAACATTTGATAGTTTATTGTGATTATGGGTGGGTAGTTTGGATCAAGGAATATAATTTTGTCAGGACCAGAATGTAACATATTTACTGGTCCAGAAGAAGGATAGGATCAGACCACCTCTTTATGAGTGGTCTAGGGTTGGGGCAGCAGTTACTGCCCGGTAATCCTTGTGAACTAGGCTTACAGCTCGGCTTTGGCTACTAGGTGTAAATTAACCAGTAAGGCCACCACTCAGTTCATGGACCCAACTTTGGTCGCATTAAAAAGCACAAAACAACCATCTTTCTCACCTTTCCTATCTCTCTCTTTCTTGCAATTAGGTTTCAGAAACTTGTACCTTGCTTTCTGTAAATCATTAATTCAATGCAAATCACATATAGTTCTTAATCAAGGGTTTTATGATTCTTAGCTTTTGTATGAATCATCAGCTTTGCATAGATAAGTGATTTATTTCAAATCTAAACTGACATTTTGCAAAAACCATATGCATGACAGTAGGCAAAAACTGTTCCTCAATTCTGGTCTACCAAGTTATTATGTTGATTGTTTTGTGAATTTTATTTAGAAACACCTGCTAGGGCTTTTTAGCATCATAGTGGTTCAACTTCCTCAGTCGCCTGGAAACCAATGATTTTGTTGTGCACAAATGTTGATATTGCCATTTGAACCTGTGAAATGAAATTATACTTTGTGAACATTTTGATGAAAATATATAGCACTATGTGAATGTGTCTATTTTTCACTGTTTCACTTTTAGTTGCTTACTAGCAATGTTTATTTGCATTTGATCAGTGACACATAATAAGAAACTCTATTTCATGACCGAGTCCATAATACGAGAGACTTTATTTCAGTAACCTATTGTCGGAAATGGATCCGTGAATCTATAATTGCTTGTTGAAATGACCTGTACATTTTTTATTTTTCTGATTGGAGACTGGAGACTATGACTGTTAACTGATTGTAATTCCTTTTTTTAGTTATTGTCTTAATATTATCACCAGAAGATATTATAGGTTCATTTTTTTATAATAGTTATTTTCAAGGTTGATCGTACCATAGCATACCGCTCGGTACAGCGGAATGTACCGGTTTGACAGGGGACTGGTATGGGTGGTACATCGACATGACTCCATGTACCATGTGTTGGTATTGTTCGTTTCAGTTCGGTACACATCATACCAATGGTTGGTCGGTACATTGGAACAGACCGATAAGGTGAGTCATGGTTATTTTGACATTACCATTTTGACTCAATCTTTTATCTGTAGGAACTTCTTGCCTTTCTATTGGATGGTCTGCATGAAGATTTAAACCGTGTAAGAAGCAAGCCTTACATAGAAGCAAAAGATGCAGATGGTCGTCCAGATGATGAATTTGCTGAGGAATGTTGGCAAAATCACAAGGCTCGAAATGACTCCATTATCGTTGATGTTTGCCAAGTGAGATATTTTAGTTTCAGTTTGTTCAAACCAAGTTTTCGTTAAAATTTGCATTGAGTATTGTCTTTAAATAAATTCAAATTCTCTAGTTAAACTATTCATAGATAACTTTTGAAGTTCTTTGTTGGCTATGGCATTTGGTCTAGTTGTTCTGCCTTCATACACAGTGGCTTTCATAATCAATTTTTGCCTTTCATCATCCTCATATAGACATTCCAAGTCCTATGCCTCAATTTTACAATTATAGCAGAAATCTTTTCTTCCAGCTTTTGAAATTTTATAATAGGCCTCTCCTTTATAGATATTATAGCAATAGTATGAATATGCTATGAGCTCTTGTTTGAAACTTCAAATGATTGTGAAAGGCATGGTTTTACAGTCAGTTTGTAGTTTGTACAAGTACTTTTCTCCTTGGGAATCTTAGTTTGGCATCATGAATTATTTGAAGATACAGCTGCAGCATGCTTGTTAATCCAGTTTCATTATTTTCCTTTTGAAATAATTGATGTTTGCTGATATCCTGTCCATCAACATTTACTCTCATGTTAACCATGAACACTATTAGAACTTGAGATTTCACAGTTAATATTTGGAAAAGACATTGACATTTATAGAAGCAACACTTGAATATAGAAGTTATTTCTGCTTATTAAGGGTCCATGATTTTCCATATTATGAATTTGCTGACGAATGTTGACAAAATGACATCTCGGACTGATTTTATTATTGTGGATGTATGCAAGCTTGGTACCTAAATATTTAAGGATTTTGTTTAAGAAATATGTTGGTTTTTATTCTAAAATTTGAATGACAGTTTAATTGCTCTCTAACAGTGAAGTTATTCTGCTTCACGTGTTATATAATCTGATGTGATCATGTAGCTTGAACCTTTTGTTGGGCAGCTATAAAGACAATTCTGTAGCTATTGTTTCTAAAAGTTGCTGTACAATCTGTGTCCAATCAATTTGTACTTCATGGTATTTGTGATGTACAAATGACTGACAAAATTTTCCCTTTTTTCATTTGAGCTAATATTCTGATTGTGATTTAATTTTCACTGTCAAAGTAATTTATAGCCTCTTTCTTGTCGATGTTTTTGGTCATTATTGATATAACATGTTCTTTCTTTGTACTGGTAAAATTTATCCTGATAATAGATATAGTTAGTGTTTTATTCTTAAATGCTAAATTAGTGTCATTGTCGATGGTGGATTCAGGGCCAATATAAGTCAACATTGGTATGTCCTGTCTGCAGCAAAGTTTCTGTGACATTTGATCCTTTTATGTACTTGTCGCTGCCACTTCCTTCAACTGCCACCCGGACGATCACTGTGACTGTGTTTAGTGGTGATGGCAGCTCTCTTCCCATGCCTTTCACTGTGACAGTGCCAAAAAATGGTTGTTGCAAAGATCTAATTCAAGCACTGAGTACTGCTTCATGCCTAAAGCACACTGAGGCCTTGGTACTGGCAGAGGTAAGATGCTGTCCTTGGTCATTTTTCTCTATTTATTTTAAGTGTCGGATATAATCAACATTATTATGCATATCTTGCCAATTTCCAGGTTTATGGCAACCGTATATACCGCTACCTAGAGAATTCTTTTGAATCATTATCTAACATAAAAGATGAAGAGCATATTGTGGCTTACAGACTTCCTATACACCATGAGAAATTATTGAGACTAGAGATATTGCATAGGAGAGCAGAAGGGTAAGATTTTGTACTCCCTCATGTGCATGTATCTGCATATGTTATCTTACATCGTGCCCCTGCTTGCTTACTATTACTTTTCATGGTTTTGGTAATCTAAGGTGCTGCACTTTTATTTATAACTAATGAAATAGAATCATTATCTGAATTATTTGTCACTGAAAAGTTAAAAAAATATGAATATTGATGATGCTGAGCCATATAGTTGAATAATTTGTATTCTTGTTGATTTCCGTGGTTGCTGGTTAGTGCTATGTAATAATGATTTGGCTTTATTATTTGATTAAAATTTTACATCATTTTTTAATTAAACTTTACATCATGATAAAATGTCATTTTATGCTTGAAATTTCTTAACAAAAAAAAGGGCACTATCTTACCTGATTATTTTACTTCCCAAAAGTGAAGAGTTTGTTGGAATTTTTTTAAAGTAACTTGAAATACTCAATCCAGCACGTTCTTTCTCCAGATTTTTATCAGAACCACGATATAGTGCCCATCTGAAGCTTCTTGGAACGCCACTAGTTACAACCTTGTCAGTGGATTCCAGAACTGGAGCAGATATCCATGCTGCTGTTCTTTCTGTGCTTGCTCCATTGCTGCGAGCAAATTCACTTACATGGTCACATGGGGACAAGAGTAGCAGAGACAGTGGCTCTGGGCCAAGCCTGGATTCTATTGTACTCTCGGATAATGGTATTCAGTGCTCAGAAGAGACTTTGTCAACATCAGACATGGAATTAGAAGAGGTCCATAACAGTATTCCTGACATTCAGCTTGCCTTGGCAGATGGGAAGGTCATCAGTAGAAGTACGGTTGATGTTGATTATACTGTTCCTGTATCTCGTCTAAAGGTGGTGATGAACTGGTCAGACAGAGAGCATGAAATTTATGACTTCAGTTTCCTTGAGGATCTTCCTGAAGTGTTCAAGTCTGGTTTCATGTCAAAGAAAACTCGGCAGGAGGCAATCACTTTATATTCATGCTTGGAAGCATTTATAAAAGAAGAACCTCTAGGGCCTGATGATATGTGGTTGGTTCTCTTTCTGCTTTAGGATTTTTAAGTTATTTGATGTTTTCTGGATAATTATAATATTTTTCCCTTTTTTGTGTTAGGTACTGCCCTAGGTGCAAGGAACACAGGCAGGCAACTAAGAAGCTTGACTTATGGAGGTTGCCAGATATTTTGGTTGTTCACTTGAAACGATTTTCTTACAGCCGATTTATGAAAAACAAACTTGACACATTTGTGAACTTCCCTGTGCATAACCTTGATTTAAGCAAATATGTTGGGCACAGGGAAAGTGCTTCAAGTTCTCTTGTTTATGAACTCTATGCAATAAGCAACCACTATGGTGGCTTAGGTGGGGGTCACTACTCTGCTTTTGCAAAGGTAAGGTCCTTTCCCATTTTTCTTTCATTAGCATGATTGAATTCTGAGTTAGCTTCAGAGTAACGCATCATAATTAATTGCATCTTTTTTTCTTAAGACATAGATGCTGAAAATAATAATCTCAATTCAAACTTTATCTGCTAAAATTGTGAATGCTGCCTATAGTTACTTTTTAATCAGGGTTCATCTTTTAACAGCTACTTGAAGAAGACAGCTGGTTTCATTTCGATGATAGTCATGTTTCCCCTGTAAACGAAAATGAAATCAAGAAATCAGCAGCCTATGTCCTGTTCTATCAGCGAGTTGGAGTTGAGTCCAAGATGGATGTCAGGGAAACAGGGATCAGCCCAGATTCCTCAAATTTTTAAGAGCAAATCTGAATTGGCAAGCAATTTGATTTTTGTTTCATGATTCTTTTAACCTTAAATAGTGGAAGGATAGCTGGGTTGCAGCTTTTAACTGATCATGCTGTTGGTTGACATGGCCGTAGAAGTTTGGTGGTGATCATTGATTCAAAATTGTTTGATCTGCCACTGAATACCCACCCACAAGCATAATCCAAGACTGGACTCACAGTGCAATTGATAGTTCAAGGAAGCTAAGGTCATTTATTACATTGTTTTAGAAATTATTGAGGTATGAAGCTGTTGAGTGTTGTATGAGTTAATTTTTCATCTTTTAGATTAGAGTTGGAAGTGAAGTTCACCATAATGTTTATTATTTGTTACTATTAGATTTGATAGATTATCCCGGAAGCAGTTGCCACTACATTTGGCAGATGAGGATTGGATTGTCCTTGAGCTTCTCAATGATCCATTCAAAGCTACCAATCTGGCCCTGGTGATATTCTCTTATTTTTGTAGAGAGATGTTTGAAGCTGTAATGCAAATGTTTTCTTTTGCAAACTGCACTTTCTGCAGTAAAATTGTAATGACAGGTTGAAAAAGTGGTTCAGTGTCTCATTTTTTCTTCATTTTCAGTTCAAAATCAAGGATCTTATGGCCTTTGCTTAATTATGCATTGGAAATAGCTTTTCGTTGCCAATGGTAGGATCATAATGTGACTTGGAATGCAAAGAATGCAGAGGTCTCTAATTCACTTGTGGTGCTGCTCAATTGGATGTAATTCACGTATGGTTCTACCAGTTTTGGATTAGCAGGGTGTGTACCGTTGGAACAACTTTGGTGGCTTTTTATTGTGCCTTGTCCCAAGGATTCGTCCCAGATTTTTATTTTTAGTGTGCAGAAATGGATGATGGTTTGTTTGAATGTGTTTTTTCAAACTATTAGTAACTAAAATGGGATTCCATCTGAGGATTTTGCAATGATATGTGAAATATTCATCAGCAATGTTAGCTCCTTTAAATGCGTAATGGTTGCTCTTTTGTTAGCAAGATGGGTTTTGATATTCAATTGTTAGCACCTTAAAATGCCTAATGGTTGTTCTTTTGTTACTCAAAGTGAGGAACATGCGTTGGTCGATATTGCAACAGGCTAATGTTAGTTTCAGTCATTATTCTTTTGTTGTTCTTTTGTTATTAAAATGGCTAATGTTCTGAACATCAACTTCGCAGTCCATTCGACAAAGGAAGATTACGATATTTAAAGTATAATAAACTTTAATGTAGTGAAACTTATACTAAATTAATGAAGTTCAATTTTATCAGTGCTGAGTCAAAACAGGGTGTTAAGATGAATGGATAAATTATTCTAAGCATTTAAACTCAATTGAATGAGGTATCCGTACAGCAAACTCAGGATGGTTGAAGTAGAGAGGACCCTAAGAATAATAATAATAAATTTGTTAGTTAATTGTAACATTAACCGTGCCTTATGGGTTAAAATGTTGTACTTTTAAGAAACGTTATATATAATAAACAATGAATACGAATAGTAAAATATTTCGAAATTTTCAAGAAACAGGAGGTATAAAATGAACTAATTTTCATAACTGTATATGTATGTGAACAAGATTATCTAAATAAACCTCACATTTTAGATTTATCTCTTATATGACCTCCTTTATTTTTGAAAACATAGATAGCATCACAGATCAGAAGCAATGTGGGTTGAATTAATGTGCAATAATGCTTTCAATCAACTGAAGAAGAGCGTGTTTGCATGGAGAAAAAGTTTTCTATTTTAGAAACACTGTAGTGCGTTAGTGTTGGAAATGGTCGTCGATCCATGTCACCGAGTCAATCTGATCTAGCTGACTTGCTAAAGGTCAACGTGTGTTAAGGGTTTGGATGCTCTTCTATTTAATCCGCTCAAAGCCTTGCTCCTCACAATAAATAAACATTACATATGAAACTAGTTTCAGGGCATACGCCAAACAAAAGCTGCTCAAGTTAAAGATGAGGTTTGATATGAGCTTTGAAAGAAAATTTTGGATATCCAATCATGCAGAAGAGACTATGTTGACTTAGAAATTCTATGTGTGTCAAGTTGTGATTGGTTCCAAAATATTGATCTCAAAGTACAACTTCAAATAAAATTTAAATAGTTTAGTGCACGAGGAAATTAAAGTTTGATTCATGCTATTCATCTATATGACTGTCCCAATGCTTTTGTAGCATGCATATTAAAAGATTCCATGCACTAATGTGGAGAGTAGGCGTCTTGCTTGGGGTGGAAGGAAGACAGTGGTCCGATCGAATTCAATAGTTTATTGTTGAAACCGGTTTTAAGAGGGAACTTTGCAAGAACTGCAAGATTAGGGATATCTTTGGGTTTTGGGCTAATTACATAGTGTTAGTTAGCTATCATTAATGTTTCCATTTATACACTTTAAAAAGTTATATTTATATTCTATAATTATCAAAGTGAAATATGTATGCCCATTTATTTTATCGATGAAAACATTAAAATAAAAGATAAAAAAAATATAATTTTAATATTTGATGATGGATGATGGTGTCATTTTTGTCAATGCCAACCGCTCACGTTGTTGTCTTGTTGTCTTCTATGAGGAGTGCGCTGTCGACCTCATCAGCCTACCCCATGCTGTTTTGCATCTACGGTGGTGGTCACCACGGTGTCTACGGTGAAGATGGTGGCCACTTTGCCATTGACCCGTCAAACGGATCCCAGTCTCATTCCCTCCCCTTTGCATCTACGTCGACGTCGATGTAGATGTCGAGTGGCCATTGCACTGGATGCCATGCTTGAAGATAGCAGAGGATGTGGTCATCAACCTCCTCTACCTCCACCAGAGCTACTCATCCATCGTCAAGCCCTCCAACGTCCTGCTTGGCCTAGACTTTGAGTCATACCTCACTGGCTATGCTTTCATCTCGTCCCTCCTCCTTCCCTCGGCCTCACCCCACAATCTCGTCGTCCACTCCTCCATCACATCCTCCTCCCTCTTCTATTGTGTACCTAAGTCCTACCTTCCCAAGCCCTCCTTCACCACCTCTTCGATGTCTATAGCTTCGGCATCCTTCTCCTAGAGCTCCTCACCGAGAAGACTCCCTTCTAGGATCTAGTGGAAGAGCATGGTGCTAACATCCTCCGATGGGTCCACTCCATGTGGGAGGAAAAGTGGAACAACTCCAGCGAGGACCCCGGGTCATCCGGGAATGAGGAATATGAGGAGAGGCTGATAACATTGCTAAACATTATGTTAGCAAACGTAGTGGTTGAGGCGGAGAAGCCTCACTGCCCCCTCCTCCACCGCATCATCCTCCCTCTTCTATCGTGCACCCAAGTCCTACCTTCCCAAGCCCTCCTTCACCACCTCTTTAATGTTTATAGCTTCGGCATCCTCCTCCTAGAGCTCCTTACCGAGAAGACTCCCTTCTAGGACCTAGTGGAGGAGCATGGTGCCAACATCCCCCGATGGGTCTACTTTGGGAGGAGAAGTGGAACGACTCTAGCGAGGACCCCGGGTCAACCGGGAATGAGGAATCCTAGGAGAGGCTGACAACATTGCTGAACATCGCGTTGGCACACGTAGCGGTTGAGGCAAAGAAGCAATCGTCAATGTGGGAAGTGCTACAAATGATCGGGGAGGCGCGAGAGAAGGTGATGGTCTTGTCCAACAGTAGCGACCACTCATTGGGGAGGTGGTCGAATATGTTGCAAAGCTTGCTAAGGGAGCATGGATTGGAGGGCGACGGTCGCTCGACATCGACGTCGACGTTGACATGGATGCAAAGGGAGAGGGGTCGAGGTTGGAATTTGCCCAACAGGTTAGTAGTGAGGCGGCCACCATTTTTGCCATAGACACCTTAGTGGTCACCACCCTTTGTGTCGACACTGACATAGTTGTCGTTTAGCAACTGCATCATTGTTGACGTATATGCATAGCGGCACGGGATGAGCAACGATGAGATTGGCGACGCACTCCTCATGGAGGCGAGTGATATCACAGTGAAAGTGGACCTTATCGTCGTTAGAGGTGGCCAGGCAACTGCGTCGATATTGATGCTAATGGCATTGTCGTCCGCCACCATCGATGCCACCGACGTTGTCGTCAACCATCGAACATTAAGAGTACCTTTTTATTTTTATATTTTTATATTTTTATATTTTTATTAATAAAATTGATATCGTTAAGATAACTGAACCTAAATATTTTACCTTCTGGATGCTAATATAATATTTTAAATTATAAGGATCGAGATGTTAAAAGACAACTAGCCCTTGGATTTCGAATACCTAATGGATGCTTTCCTCCGTCGTTAAACGGGTAAACCTCCCAAACCCTATTATTTTGGAAAATGGGTTTCTTTTTGCAGTACTAGAGGACAAACTTGTGATTTTACTCGATTCCGCCCACGAAGGAAACCCTGCTTGACCCCACGAAGCGGTAGCCGTTCGCCCACCCCGTCCATCGCGGTTGCTACCAGAAGCCATTCCGAAGCCGCTTCCGCCGCCTTCATGGAAGGAGCCGCACCAGCCAAGGAGGGCTCAGAGAGTGTGGGAGCCCTCGAATCCGAGGGCGCCACCCGGCCGAGACCGGAGGATCTGGTAGCCAGAGCAATAGCCCCGGTTAAGGCCGAGTACCTCCGTCCTCCGCCTTCTAGGTCGGTTGCCGTCGATTCTGGAGTCGAGGATGGCTCCATCGAGAAGAAGAGCAGTTCCGCCAACGTTGTCGTCAAGGAGAAGAAATCTCGGCGGCAGCTCAAGAGAGAACGGAAGCAGGTTGGTGTTTTTCTTTTTGGTGGTTTTGTTTGTTAGATCGGAAACTCGTTACGAGCTTATGGTGTATAATTTTTCTTTATTTTGTTATCACTTTTTTATGTTTAGTTGATGTATAAAGCTCGTTAACTGATCATGTATCTCTGTATACCATGTAGCAAACTATTTTTGTAAATGAAATTGAAAATGGATAATACTGTTAATTAGTTATGTAAAAATGCTCTTCCATGAATATAGATCTTCAACATGGCTTGAACTTTAGAGTAAGAATCATCTGCAAATTGTGCCCTAGTGTTTTATTAGTTATTAAGAGGAACATTACAAAGTTTTGGTGTATAGGCATAAATCCTATGTTTTTGTTTTTCAGGTTTCAATATCAAATGGTAATTATGACTTGGGTCTTGAAAACAGTTTTTCAAATGTGACATTGGCCATTATTGGTCATCTTAGTTTCCTCTGGTATTAGACTCTGTCGGTGGCCATTGAGAGTCCATCTTGTTATACTTAGTTTTCTTTCTATGAATATTTTTTGGTCAATTTCTTCTTTGTAATTTATATTTGCGGTCACAGTAATGAGCAACTGATGCTTTTGAAGTTACATGTATTCTGTTTTTGCTTCTTTTTTTGTATGAAAACCTAAGGTGGCCTTAGCAAGCTTATGCTAAGTTTTTACTATTCTATAGAATGCTGTCAAACTTGTTTCCTGCTCTTTTTGGTTATCTATATTTGAGTTTCAGTTAAGATTAAATATACACTACATCAATAGTTCACAATTTCTTATCCAGAAAACTCCGATTTATGTTTTATTACGGTGAATCTTTTGATCATTTTATGAGTTTTTGCAGATGATTATAAAATAGTTACAGAATCATCTTCATAATTTCACACATTTTATTCATGCAAATACTTGTAGGATTTATTTTATTCTTGTCTTGTATGAATTTAGGTATAAGGTGCTAATAGCCTGGTACAACATGAGTGGGATACACCATTACACCAATTCTTGAAAAATAGAATGTAACACGATATGAATATGGCAGTAACATATATGACAACTATATATAATACAATCCTTGTAGTGTTAGCATATGTTGTTGCAAATCATGATAAATAATAACATGTAATAGACTAGATTCTCAAACCTACTCGAACAAAAAAAAGCCTCAATAACATAATACTTCGAGAATTTGAAGGAGATTTCAAACGAACATCATTGATCTAGTGCTTAATAAGAAAATCAAACAATATGATTGTATGTCCATCTTTTCTATAAACAATATGTCAACATTCAAAGTGAACAATTTTCTCCCGTGAAGTATGCCTGAAGTCTCCTAAAATCATGATTCGAAGGTTTGATATCACACCTCGTATCTATCATTGGTTGGATCGATATGGGTCAAGTACGCATCAACACTCCCAATGCATGGTACATCAGCGTATTATTGGTGGACAACAAGGGGGAGGAGAAGGACAAGAAGAGGAGGAGGAGATGAAGAGGAATATTCGGTGAGTGGGCTGCCAGTGGCGGATGATGCCAGGCTTGAGAGGGAGCTCTTTAACTTAAAAAAATGAACCAGATTGGACCAGGCAGGTTGGGTCCATGGCACCGGTTGAAACATGTACTGGTAAATATCCCTTGGCACATACCGGTCTGGGTGAAATTTGAAATCATGCTTAAAATTGTCCGATTTTCTAATAATTATTTGAAGTATCATAATTGACATATCCAAAGTTCCAAACATTGATACAAGCAAATAATTCAAAATATCAATATTCTAACAGGTTACATTTAGTTATGAATTTTGCTCCATTTGATGGAGTACCCTGTAGATTTGTCGAATTTTTATTTGTTGTTGGGTATCTTTTTGGGCTTCATATGTTTTACTTTCGAGAATCTTTGGTGAAGTCATTATATATCTAAAATTATAGATTAGTCTCTTTCTCAATTCCCTCCTATTAAAACCTTAGTTATCCAATCTCTTGTTCTTTAATGTTCTTGAGTCTATGCTTTGCTTTAATTAACTTCAAATTTTGTATACACATATTATAAATTTTTTACTGTTACATTGTTCATTCCTAGTTCTGCATATGCGTTGTATCTGAAAATCTATATTTATTATGAAAAATGTTTAGGAGCAAAAGTCCACAAGAAATATCTGTCCAGAAGTAGCTAAAAGTGGCAATGCTGATGCATGCCCTTATCGTGGTAATTGCCGCTTCAACCATGACATGGATGCCTATTTGGCAGAGGTATACTACTCGATGTTTTTTCTACTATCATATTCATTTTTACCATATCTTCTACCACTACTATGTACATACTGTGTCAGCAATGGATGTAATGCTGTTGCATACAGAAACCACCTGACCTAGAAGGGACATGTCCGTTCGTCAGCGCTGAAGAGTTCTGTCCTTATGGAATAACTTGTAGATATGCCAGTACACACAGACAACAAACATCCTTAAAGTTGGAGGTACCTGCTACTAAGAGCTCTGAAGTCAACAGCCTAAACAAAGATTTGCAGAAGCTTTTGTGGAAGAACAAAGTTAGTTTTCCAAATGCAGATCTTCAGCTCAAACTCCTTGGCCTTGAGGTAGGTAATATCATGGGAAAAAGCACTTCATTTTTGCAACATCATCACCATTATGTATAAACAAATTGTAAGATAATATATTGTCTTAAAGCTCTTTGTTTTTCCTTATTTTTGGTCAAATTCGTATTTTATTTTCTTTTATGTTTCTTAGAAAGTATTATTGTCGCACTGGTACTTGGCTACATCTGAGTTTTTGGTTCTATCTCTGAGATCAAAACTGTTATTTTCCAGTTTTACGTAACTTGGTGAACCAATGTTGATCTTTCATTTCCTTATGAAGTAATATTAACGGGTTTGTCCCATCTTGCTGAATTAGAAAGAATATTTTTGCAATTGAGAATTCTATTTCTTTTAGGTGTATATTTATAGGGTTTAAATTATGTTATATGACCAATTTGGATACTCTTCTGTAAGTTATTACTAACTTGAATTTCAAATAGCATTTTCTTAAATTAACGATTCACATTTTGAGTCCATTGAATAATCATGATGCACATCCTGTGTCCCTAGAAAAATTGAATGTAGTGCTTGCAGCAAAGACAAGCCAGTTGGGAGAAATTCTTACCTATTTTAATCTTTTCTTGCAAAAGGTCTAAAAAATGTTGTGACTGTCATGTCTGATAGGTTGCTAGAACCGGGAAGAGTATACTAAAAGTTTAACTGTATTATATCTTTAATGTTTGTCTATTTCTGCATCATGGAGCCACTGAAAATATATGCTCCAGGATTGCAGCATGGGAACATCTAAGCTATTTATTTTGGTTCTACTTCTAGTTCCTGTTATATTGATGTTGACTTTGAACCAGAAGCTACTGAGACTGAACCACAACTTCTAGTATATCAGAAACATGAATTCATATCCTAAGTTGTTTATTATGTCACAGTTATTTCTGATAGCAAAAGAGTATTCTGTTTTTTCCCTATACCTTTCATTATTCCACTTTGCAGCGTGGTAATGGTGCACGTGCAAACTCAGGAGCGGATCACATGAAAAATCACCCAGAAAATAATATTCACTTGGATGACAACAAAGAGATGCTTTGCAGCCTTGGAGCCCCCACAACATGTCTAGAGAATGACTGTTTGGATAATGGGTCTATCTCTGATGATTCAAGACCTTTGAAGAAGACAAAGAGTCAAGCTGATAAAATTGACAGCTCTCCTAAAACTAGTAATGATATGCTTGACAACTTATGCTCCATGATTTTGAGCTTTGAAATATCAACTCCTGAGTAATGTGCCTGGTTTAACTAATAACGAGAATTTGGTCGGACACATGCCTTGCAGAAAACTTTGAAGAAAGTCAAGATAGCTGTTTGCAGAATGGGCTTGAAGATGTTTCACCCGATAATTTATATTCCTCCAAAGATGATTTGAGTCTGAAACCACATGCAAGGGAAATAAAGCTCATTGATTTTAGAGGGAAGCTATACCTTGCTCCCCTGACTACTGTTGGAAATCTTCCCTTCAGAAGGATCTGCAAAGCCTTAGGTGCTGATATTACTTGTGGAGAAATGGCTATGTGCACAAATCTCTTGCAGGTGAGCCTTCTAAGACTTCAATTTTTATTAGATGCTTAATATGATCTAATCTTTGTTGATTTTTTCTTGCTCTTGGAGGTGTATAATGCTAAATCATATTTTGCAAACCCATCAAAACACAAGGTTGGAGATGCATAGGACTCCGTGCCATTTTAAGAACTAGGAAAGCTGATGAAGTTTATGTCACAATCATTTTGCATTTTTTAAGAATACATATGGAAATTTTTTACAGATGTGTAGTTAGAAGAAGATGAAACAATTACTAGTAATCGTACAAGGCGAGATAAATGGACACTTAAAAGACTTTATCAGATACTATAAATAATGATAAAGACTTTATCATATATCCCTCTAATTTGACAAATTCAATTTTCTCCCTGCTGGTTTTGATATCCCTCTAATTTTCAATTGTATCTCTTTATTCTCCATACTTGTAGCTAATATGATAGAAATCTGTATATTCGTTTTTCAGTCCTAATCATGGAAAATTCCTGGATATCATCAATGTATTGTTGTTTTTTCTTTTATTGTTGTCTTATAACAATATGCCCCTAAACTGATGTTTTCCCATATAGCTCTCACTTGATTATGAGATCTGTATCCCTGGTGAGCAAATTGGGAAGTAAGACAAACATATGCATGTTCACTACAAGTAACATGTATTTGCCATGTGATAGCTGAACCCTTCCATCTTACATCTCCTATATCTATCCATTTTTCTGGGAAGCATATTAGATAGCTGAAACATATTTTTACATAGTATAATAGCATCTCCTTCACCTGAAGACCATATGTCTGTTCGCAAGTGGTATGTATACGTCAACTAAATCTAGCTAACATTTAGAACGAGTATGCCTTGGTGTAACAAGTAACTGGAGCATATTTTTCCCACTGGGGGAGTAGATATAGAATATACTCTCTAGAAAATTAAGTTCTCTTGCAACTAAGATATCTTGTGGTACTAGGGGCAAGCTTCAGAATGGGCATTGCTAAGGCGGCACTCGTCGGAGGACATATTTGGAGTACAAATTTGTGGAGCTTATCCTGATACGGTAGCACGTACAGTTGAGCTCATAGATCGTGAATGTGAAGTTGATTTTATTGACATCAATATGGGGTGTCCAATTGATATTGTTGTAAACAAGCAAGCTGGATCTGCTCTGCTCACGAAACCATTGCGGATGAAGAACATTATTCAAGCAGCTTCTTCTACACTTTCTAAACCTTTGACGGTTAAGGTGCACAAGTATCCAATCCTGCTTTTATGATGTGTTCCATCTGAAGTATGAAAGTTTTTAATCCCAGAATAAATTAATAACATGGATTGGTTTTTACCTTATTTTTTGTCTGACAATGTAACAGGTGCGAACAGGTTATTTTGAAGGGAGAAATCGCATTGATTCTCTAGTTTCAGATATATCTAACTGGGGAGCCGGTGCACTGACCATACATGGTCGATCACGACAGCAACGCTATAGCAAGCTTGCTGATTGGGATTATATCTATGAATGTGCAAAAAAAGCCCCAGAAAGTTTGCAAGTTCTAGGAAATGGTGATATTTTCTCATATACTGATTGGATTAAACACACATTGGACTGTCCCAAGCTTTCTACGTGCATGATTGCTCGAGGGGCTCTAATCAAGGTTTCTCTTCTTGTGCTAACTTTTCATTAACAATTGACATCTATATCTTTCTATTGTGGTTTCCACGTTAATGCCACTAATTTGTAGACATTTGTCATCACAGCCTTGGATATTTACTGAGATTAAGGAACAAAGACATTGGGATATTAGTTCCGGGGAGCGATTCAATATCCTCAAAGATTTTGTTCAATCTGGCCTACATCATTGGGGCTCCGATACTAAAGGTATGCTTCTTCATGCACTAAAAGAAACCAATCTCATATGCAACACTCAAGAGAGTAGGGTAATAAGAACTTATAACTTTTCAAATTAATTCATTCTTTATAAGTAAATATTCTGATATGCAATTTTGAGATAGATTTTTATTGATTATGTTTTTTATGAAAGAGTCATATTGAACATTACTTGCTGCAGACCACCGCTCAATTATAGAGGTACCAAGCTGGCAATGTTGATTATACCACAAAGACTGGGACATTCTATACATATATTATCGTGCTGTTTCTCAGTTTTGAGAGACTGTATGTATGTTCACATATCCTACAACCTTTGTTTTCAATAAATGACAAACATGAGTCGTGAGATAAACAGAAATAATATTGCTTATTCAGTTTTAGTCCTACTTAATCTAAAATCATTAGTTTCTAAGGATTGTCTCTATAGTTCAAGTTTATAATTAATTTTATTTAGGTTTTTATTAACTAAGACAACATCATCAACAAATAACATATACTAGGGAAGTATATCATGTAAGTGATTAGTAAGTTCATCCATTATCAAAGTAAAAAATTAATGACTTAATGTTGATCCTTGATATAATCCTATGCTAATATGAAACTCACTAGAAACACTCTCTATAGTTTTAACACTAGTAACTACATTAGCATACATATCTTTAATAACATCAATATAATTAGTAGATACACATTTTGTTTGTAAAACCCATCATAATAAATCTCTAGGAACATTATCATAGGTTTTCTCTAAGTCAATAAAAATCATATGCAATTTCTTTTTGCTTATACTTTTCTATTAATTATCTTAATAAATAAATAGTTTTTATAGTTGCTCTTCGTATAAAACCAAATTGATTTTCAGAGACATTTGTTTTAAGCCTTATCCTCCTTTCGATAACTCTTTCCCAAAGTTTCATAGTATAGCTTATGATTTTAATTCTTTTATAATTTGAATGATTTTGTATATCACTCATATTCTTGTAAATTAATACTAAAAAAATATTTCACTATTCATCAAACATCTTTCTGAATCTTATGATTTTGTTAAATAAACTAGTTAACCAAGCCACTCACTTGTCCCTTCAACTTTTTTGGAACTCAATAGGGATCTCATCAGGTCCTACACTTTTAACTATTTTCATCTTCTTTAATGTATCTTTTACTTCACCAACTTGAATTTTATAAACAAAATCTATGATTATTAAATCTATCATTATTATTTATCGTTAAATTTAATATCTATGTGGAATATTTATTAAATAATTTATAAAAATAAAATTTTCATCTTTCCTTAATCTATTGTCATTAATACATATATTTTGATTTTCATCTTTAATGCATCTAATATTGTATAAATCCTTACACTTTCTTTCCCCAGCTTTAGCAATTTGATATATATCTTTTTCATAATCTTTTTGGGCTCTTTTTTAGATTCTTTGTATCTTTTAAATTTTCTCTTTTTATAATTTTGTTAATATTTAAAACATGATATTTTAGTAAAACTTGCTTTTAAAACAACTGTTGCATGCATCTTTAACTAAGGGGTAATAATGTCATTTTACATGTCTAGTTAAGCTTAAGTATAAAATGATTAACAAAAGTAAATGGCGGTGTTATAATTTACTCAAAAGCAAATGATGTGGTCCGAATGAATAGCAGCAATTAAATCGGAAAATGATCAGTAAATATGCTAGAAAAGAATCTCTTGTTTAGACCTCTTTTGTACATGGGTCTAGGCATTGCTTGCCTAGATTTTCTGGGGCATATTTGCGGCTCTAGCCTAAGCGCTCGGGTAATCATGTGTGACAACTTTGACTTTTCTGCATGACTATGTTGTTTGTAGATGGTTCGTTGCCAAATTGTTATCATTTTGAGTTTGTGGTTGGCTTCATGCTACTGTAAACATGGTGCATTAAGCTGAAGTAAAAGAAAGATTCACTTAAATATTTTGGTTTAGACATCCTTTAATTCTTCTTTAATAAATTTGGACACTTACATGCTAGTAAACATGTATATCCATGTGTTTACATTGTATTTGTTTGCTTCAAATGATTATATCATGTTCATATTTGATGCGCTCCAGGTGTGGAGACAACGAGGCATTTCCTGTTGGAATGGTTGAGTTATACATACCGCTATATTCCACTGGGCCTATTAGATGTAGTTCCACAGCGTTTAAATTGGAGACCACCCAGCTACTATGGCCGAGATGACCTTGAGACCCTAATGGCTTCTGATTCAGCTGCTGACTGGGTATGTTCCCATTCTAACTTTTTGCAGATTGTTTGCTGTTCATTCTTTACTTGGTTTTGTGGAAAGTGCAGATTCGGATATCTGAGATGTTGCTTGGAAAGGTTCCAGAAGGCTTTACTTTTACACCTAAACACAAATCTAATGCTTATGACAGTGCAGAAAACGGCTAATACCTGAGGTTGGTTGACTCACTTTTGTTCTCTCCAATCCAGCATCCAGGACTCCTAACCTGAATAAGAAATATGGTTTTATTTATGTTTTTACTTTTTAGAAAGTGCTTTCTTTGGGCTGATACGAGGAAAGCTGTACTTGTGAAGCTGAGATGCACACACCGAGACAATAAAAAAAAAAGGTTACTCATAGCTGGATCAAAGAATCCTGATGTTGATACAGTAAGGACTTACTGTTAAAATCCTTCAATTTTCTCCATGTTGAGACTGATGTAGAATATTACTAATTTGCTTATAGAACAGTGACATAATTGAAGGAATTAAGTTTATCTAATTTGCTTATGGTTCGTGTCTTATCTTTTAAGGTACTGTCAGTAACATCAAACTGTATTTATATGAAAAAGAAGATAAGACAATGCATTTGTTTGGTTGTGCATACTTGATCTTGGTGTTAGTAACATCAAAGTGTTAAAAGTACTGCTCCCGAGTGATCTAGCCATAAACCATATCCTTGATCTTGGTGTTGGCGCTTGATATGATACTTTGTGGGTGCCATTCCAACAGCAAAAGTTGCCCGCTGCGGCTTATGCCTTGATGCTATTCTTCATCTCTTTTTAGATATCTTTTTCACGGCTCAAGTTTGGCATACCTTTCACAGTTCTTTAGGCATCTCTTTATATGTTTAAGCTTGGCAGCATCCAAATATGTTCTTCCAATCCTTGTTGGTTTTTTGTCGTAAAAGCATTGTTCCATAAGCTAGCTTGGATAATGACCTAAGCTGGAAAAATATATTTTTGTCAATGATATCATATATAATATTATATTTAGTTGGGTCTTTACATGTTGTATAATGAGATCATGTAGATGGTGTCAGATCAAACTTAATTTCTATGAAATGTTCTAAATCTGCACTGCATTTTATGAGATTAGGAAATGATTTAAGTGGTCTTTCGGGGCTAAGCCGCATGTTTTTAACTAGCAGTGCAGTGATATTGATTGTAGCATACGGAACTACGAAATCGGATGTGATTTCCTCGTTTCTGAACTCTGACTACCTTGATGTTTCCTTGGGGGAATTGTGTATAATCTTAAATATTTGTTAAACAAATCATCTATGAACTTAATTGGGAGAATTGTGTCTATCAGTTTAATTTTTTTTTATGATAATAGTATTTAATAATTTTTTAAGTATTTACATATTGTGTGTTTCTAAATTCAAACAAACAATAGATAATTATTGGTAGAAATTGTTATTCCGATTTCTTGTATTATTATTAATAAAAAGAACAGAGGAGATCAATATTGTGGGAGATATTAAGAATTGGCAAATGAATTATCCGTTGGGAAGCATAAACAAAACCTTTTTATTTATTTATATAATGTATATATTTATTTATGTATTAAACACCATTGGTTCCAACATTTGCACGCCAAGATGCAAACTTAATTAGCTCTAAGCAAAACAGGATCCCCTACACACACACTTGGATTCACCTCTCTGCAGCGGCTCAATCCACCCTCCACAGTGGCCTAAACCACTGAGCGTGGAAGGAAGATTGGTAAGAGACCATCACCAGCAGCACCAGCACCAGCAGCAACACCCCCCACGGCGAGCTCCCCGCCGGATGTATAGACTCCCGCCGCGCCCGCGGCAGCCGGAACACGAACCAGCTATCCCTCACCACGTAGCGGGCGACGACGATGAGCGCGGCCGGGAGGAGGAAGAGGAGGAACCTGAAGCTGGTCTCGGTGCGCCGCACCTGCGTCTTGTAGTCCCCGTACCACGACACGGACAGGAAAAGGATGACGATGGCGAATATGGCGATGAGTTGAGGGGGAGGGAGGGAGAGGGAGGCAAGTGTTTGCTCTCTCCATCCATGCTTCCATTGGGGTCCTCTCCTCTCCGCGAAGAACCACGCCATGGTCGTTGCTTAGCTTGCTTGTCGATGGCTCTGCAGGATGTTAGCTCTCTCTTTGGGGGTACAACACATGAAATATAACGCATAAAGTTGGCATCAGTAAAGCCGCAGCATCCATCCATGGAGGGAATCGATGCCAAGCTTTTGCTTGGCATCTTAACTTGGAAGTGGATGGTTGATTACAGCATGAAGGAAGGAACCTTAACTTTTGAGTCTGCCGTAGATATGCTTTTCGATTACTCACGTCTTAAGTCCCTAATAACATTAATGATGCGTTAAATTAGTTCCGATAACTAATACGATTCATTGTTATTTTATATTTTATCATAAAATTTGTTATATATATTATTTATATTTATATTATTTTATGATGTATTGTATTTTAGGAATTTTGATATTTACACAATTTTATCATCAAATTTGTTGATTTGTGTTTCTACTTTGCTGAGCAGCATCTAATGAAGAAAGAACAATGGCCCAAGAAGGGGTTATCTGCCAGCACATCATACGATCTTTCTCATCTTCAAATGTCTTCACTCCTTTAGCAATCGATCTAAGTTTATCTGCTCTTGGGTCACATACGGACGAAGTACAACTATGGATAATCTATGACCTAAAAGCTCCCGAAGTCCATCAATTTCACTAAAGTTGATATACCATTATCTTGATCTTGGGCCTTTGCCCCTCAGCACAATCTGCCCTGTACATCACTTTCTTCATAATAACTCGAATTGATAGCATTATAGCATATTCTTTAGGAGTACCCACCATTACGTCCTCTTACCTCATGCTAACACCTTCTGACCACAACATCACATCCATAAGTTGATTTATCTTAATTCTTTCATCAAATGCTTCATCGAGTTAAGGTACATATGCCTTGAAGCTCTCTTCAACTTTGGTACTATATAGGTTGAGTCTGTTCCATTATAATGAGGAACCCATGGAACGACATGATGCTGCTCTAACCATTACAAGAGTTCATATCCTTGACCTATGTCCAATGGAAGATTCGCACCTCTACTCCATATTTCATCTTCTATGTTGACTTTCTTCATACAACTTAAGTACTTTATTAAGTTCTACCCAAGTTACTCCGCTCATTGGTTTGCATTGAGTTGATAATGACTCTCGCACCTACCATTCCATAGGTTGTTGAGTCCAATCTCCACATCGACCCTAAGTGTGTCTTCATTTGGCGTTGTCTTGGGTCGCTCTCCAACTTAATCTTGAAATTCATCATTAACGCATTATCTCATGCGAGATCATGCAATGACTCATCGTTGCTCACTCGATTTGTTGAGCTTTATAGAGTTATTATATTCAGGTACCCTTCCTCAACATGTGTGGTCCGTTACACATGATTCTCCCTTTGGAGAATTAGGATTATCCCTCCTAGATATCTGACCTATTGGAACAACTTCTCTCTTTGCATCCTTCTTTCTAGAAGTTTTGGAGACCATCATCCGCTTGGACATATTTATCTTTATGCAATAAATTTTGCTATCATATTTAGGTCAATTATGCATGATTTACATAGTTTTCACCTATATATCTCGTTTAAAATGACCTATACCGATAACCGATAAATAAAAATCATGATAATGCTAGTTTTAAAAATATAAGTAAAAGTTTACGTATTTACTGTAATTTAATAACCACATTTTTAAGAAGTGAAATAGCTTTTGATGTTATTTACAAGATGACACTTATCATAATTAAAATACTTGCAGTATTTCATGTATTATTTAGCTTGATAACCACATAATTATTTTCTATATACCAGTAGGGATAAATAACTTCCCCTTGTAGTGGACGTCCATACCAAGTTCTCAGTTAAGAGGAATCCTTTCATGCCATCATGTGACTGTCTTCTCAGATTTGCATGTTTTCTAATCTCACTTCCTCTGCATGAATGTTTTCTTTGTTAAAGCTCAGGAAAGATAAATAGCAATGTAATTGATTTCAGTGGCCCGACATGTACACGTTATGCCATCTTCCCCAAGTAATCTCCTGTTGGAAGATAGTCTAATATATTGGTAGCTCAGCAGACAAACTCCGGCCATATGCATTATATATCTTGGGGCCCAATTCAACATATTGCAAGGCATCTTTGGTGAGTCATAAATGCATTATATTCCTCTCTCTCTCTCTCGTCCTTCCTCCTTTGGAATTTCTTAACTGAGATCATATGATTGGGAGGACATCTTTGGATGCCGGTGGTTATGCATTAATTAGTAGGGAAACGCATGTGAGAATGTTTTATGTATAAGAAGCGCATGATCGATTATAACAAGTGATGTATCTGTTCTTAGTGCCCTCAAATTAAGCATGTCAGTTGGTAAACATGTTTTATGTACCGTAAGGGACAAGTTTCAGAAATCATGAGTCTCGTATGGAAAATGACTGCCATGAACAGTATCACATTGAGCTGAGAAGATGTTGTTTGGTTCTACCAGTGGTGGAACAGTTGGGTATCGGAGATGATGAGTGACGGGGACAGTTGGGTTGTAACATATCATAGTTCAACATGGAACGGAGGACAAGTTTTACGCAGAGGAGATGGAGAAATGTTGTATCTTTCTTTAGATCCACGATGCATGTATATATATATATATATACTACCGCTGATGAAAGGGCTCACAACCTTTGCACGATACATTCATATTATATACATAAAATGGATATAATATGAATGACAAACTCAACTCAGCTGTCCCCAATCTATTCACGTAATCTCTCACATGCACTTCTTCGATTGACTTTATTTTCATCAGCAAACACATGCGAGTGTTGTCGTCTTCACGTGATACCACGTTAATGTTTGAAGCTAAGGGCTTCATGAGACTTCCATCTCATAAGCATATGACCCCTTTAAGCTTTCTCAAGTTGGCAACCTGCATATATTAATTAATATGAAGCCGCAAGATGTGGTAATAGACTGATGTATTTTAAGAACCAAGAAGTCAAACTAGCCATTTTGTTATGGTCTATTTGCATGAACTATGGGATCATATAATCCTGTAATCCCGTGATGTATGTTAATGGTTAATCCCAATTAGTCAGCCAATAGGGAGTTGGTTGATTTTTTCTGTGATTAAATGATAATGCAGGCAGCCACATCTTTTCTCTCTCTTCCCAAAAAATATTTTGTGTGCATACTTAAAAGAACTCATTTTCACCATATTATGAACATATACTACAGCATAATTGATTAAACTACTCTTATGTAGTAGAACAATATTAAATATTGACTATAAGCCTTTGCTTCAACATGAATTCTTTTTTGTCTCTGTTGAGACATTTGAAGCTTCATATAAGTTATTTAATATAATAAAAATATTTTTTAATGAAAAATGAGTTCTCTTTTCAGAAAATTATTAGTGTGTGGGTATAGTTCAGTGAATGTTTCAAGTCCCTTGTGATCATTGATGTATTTCTAAACTCATCATGGATACATACCTATTGAAATTTATATTATTACCAAAATATAAAATGAAATTACGGCCTGAAATGATCTTTTTCTTCTTCTTTTTTAATTCATATTAATTCTAAAAATATTGCTTTATATCATAATTTAATATTAATTCTAGAAATAACTGAGTCTCGTTTTGGTCATCTTATTGAGGTGTGTCATAGTCAAAGTCTGATAGGCCTACAAAAGAGCATAGTGAAAGTATCTCTTTATTGGGAATTTTTTTTCGATGGAAAATGGTAGCAAATCAATTGTAGATTTTTAATGAAGTAGCTAACATATGACAAATCAATATTCTCGATAAATCAAACAATAGAAAATTATATCATTATTTCATGAATACTCAGAGCAAAGACTAAAGAGAAATTTGCTTAATCTTTGATGATTTCCACTCACACCATCAAATGGTGAAATGATAATTCAAAAAAGATCTGTGATCAACATCACGATAAAAATATCTACTCGATTTGATGAAGATGTTAAAGCAAATAATAATAATAATAATATTATTATTATTAGGTGTGACTTATTTTAGTAACAATATCTTATCGAGATCATGCAAAAATAAAATGAAAATGCATGTATGGAATCAAAACTAAATAATAAGATTTGTATTGCGATATGAGCATGACCGAAGAAGTTTTTTAACATCAAAATTTGATGTACAAATTTTAGAGTATTTAGAAAATACAACAAGTGATGACCATAATGGAGAACATGAGTTTTTCTTTTTTTTTCATATTATTATTTTTGTAAAGATTAATTTATGACATATGTCGAAATATAAATTTAATTTTGAGAAATCTCACGTATGAACAACCAAAGAATAAACCAAAAAATCTAGCATGATAATAATAAACACCAAGAATAAGTCTCCCTCGAGTTAACCAGAAATCCTCTTATATGACTCCTAAGAATAGTTTTCTTAACCCTCTTTTGAGATCTACTAAGAAAAACCCTAAGAGCACATTAAGAAACAGGTTGCTCACATGATGCCATTAATTATTACTGCAATGTGACAGTAATTAATCTTTATAGTAACAAAATTAGTAAGTACTACAGACTCAGATCAATATGAATGCCTGAGTTCGGCGTCGTGTCTATGTCGGCTGTGTCGGCCGTATCGTCAAACTATGTGGTCCTCATGCACCAACTCGATCCGTTGGATTTACTACAACCTACGTGAATCTTACATACGTCCACGTAAAAATAATACCACGTCTCGCCTTCCGTTCTCTGTTCTTTCTGACACTGTTATTATTATTACAATGCATCTAAGTACTTCCACCTGCTTGAGGTAGGATAGGGAATGCGCTGATGGAACTTAAGTTGCTTCTCTCTCTCTGTCTCTCTCGATCGATCGACCTTTTAAAGACCGCCCGAGTTGCTTAGTCTTCCGAAGTCTGTCTTCTTTCTTGATCGCCTTCACGAAATGGATCGAGAGGAGACGCTAAGCTTCTTCCCGCCTGACTCTTATTCCGACCTCGACAGCAGCTTCACTAGCTCAACGACGTCTGCCTCCACTTTCAGCGCCCGCAGCAGCCTCAGCTTGGCGTCCTTCTCGTCCTCTACTTCCTCCTCTTCTTCGTTTGCTCCGAAGCCCCTCCCCCACAACTGCTCCGATCCCCACTGGTCTGCCCTCCGTGCTGCAGCCAACCTCTCTCCTGATGGCCTCCTGCACCTCCACCACCTCCGGCTCCTCCGCCCTCTCGGCTCCGGCCATCTCGCCCGCGTCTTCCACTGCCGGCTCCACGGCTTCGATGATGATCACTCGTCCTCCGAGTTCGCCCTGAAGGTGATCGACCTCGATGCTCTCTCCCGCTCCTCCGGCAACTACTCCAAGCCCGATGACGACGAGTATGAGGAGGAAAGCGGCGACGGCCGCGGCAGGGGGAAGATGTGGCACGTGCGGGCCGAGGCTCGAGCGCTGGCGGAGATGGACCACCCGTTCTTGCCGACTTTGTACGCCCGGCTCGACGCCTCACACTATGCGTGCTTCCTCATCGACTACTGCCCTGGTGGTGACCTGCACTTGCTCCTCCGTCGCTGCCGCGGGCACCGCCTACCGCCGGTGGCCGCCCGGTTCTACGCCGCTGAGGTCCTCCTCGCCCTCGAGTACCTCCACGCCCTCGGCTTCGTGTACCGCGACCTCAAGCCCGAGAACATCCTCCTCCGCACCGACGGCCACATCATGCTCTCCGACTTCGACCTCTCCTTCCGATCTCACGTCACGCCTGTCCTCCGCCGCCGCCGCCATCGCCGCCCTCGCCGCAGGAACCGCCTCTTCTGCTGCCTCCTTGGCTGCAGCGTATCCAGCGAGGACGAGGAGCCCGAGTTTGTGGCCGAGCCATCGTCGGCCTTCTCGAGGGCGTGCGTCGGGACGCACGAGTACCTGGCTCCAGAGGTGGTCAACGGCCGCGGCCACGGCAACGGCGTCGACTGGTGGGCGTTCGGGGTGTTCCTCTACGAGCTCTTTTACGGTCGCACGCCCTTCAAGGGCGCCACCAAGGAGGCGACCCTGCGGAACATCCTGACTCGGGAGGTCAAGTTCCCGGAGACCAACGGCGGCAATGGGTCGGAAACCAAGGCGAGGGACCTGATCTCGCGGCTCCTGGTGAAGGACCCGGCGAGGCGGATGGGGTCGGCCCGGGGGGCGGCCGAGATCAAGCGGCACCCCTTCTTCGAGAGCGTTCAGTGGCAGCTGATTCGGTGCACGCGGCCACCAGTCGTGACAGGCCCCGCCGGCAGCGCGCGTGAGCGGGCGGCCAAAGTGAAGAGAGCGCAGTGGTGGAGTGGTTGGAGAAAGAGCGCCGGCATCAGTAGTAATTGTAGGAGCAATAACAATAAGACGAAAGGACTCAAACCGGGATTTGGGTTGGGGTTGTTGCGATCCAAGAAGGGGACGGCGGAGAGGAATGACAGCGGGAGATAGATGATGAGTTGGGTGTTGTTCTTGGAAGCCGTTTGTACAAAGATGAGTTGAAGCAGCAGCAAACAATGGATGTCATCGTGTAACTTTGAATGTACAGAGTTGGCTTTTCGTACTACTACAGCTTTTACTTCGTATAAGCTAATTTGGTGCTAATTGTTAAGGAAGATTTGGATTTCATGCATGTCATGATAAGTACGTGCAGTCCAAGTAAAAAATCTTTCTTGTTATATCCTCCTTTGTGCCAAAATCAAGTAGGAGTTGAACTGTCTTTTTCTTTCCAACAAGAACTGTGAACGTAAACATGTTTCCTCCAACTATTTGATGTCCCAATGATGGCAGATTAAGATGACAGCTTCAAATGAAAGCAGCCTTGCATGAAGCCTCTGTACTCGTTAACTGTGACGTCGTCACAGAGTTACTTGTATTATTGTTGCGTTGATAAATATTTTTTATAGTTTTAAATGAAAAATATGTTTATTTGTAGGTAAATTTAGGGCACAAGTTATTTAGAGAGATTAGTTTAGTTGAACATTTTCGAAAATTAATGATTGGGCATTGTTGGTGAACTCGGACACCGTGGCCGAGGAGTCAGCATGGCTTGGTTCACTAGCCGATGTTCGGAATCGTTGATCCTTCTGTTGGTCGAGTCAGACTTGAAGTCAAGTTGAGCTTGATGTCATGCTAGATGCGCTTTCGTCGATGGTTTGAGCTGGCTCTGGAGTCGCCTGCCCCTACACACAGGCTCAGGTCGAGGAGTTCCTAACTTCGGCCCCTTATAGATTAAGTGAGTGATCCAATGATTTGCCTCTTCAAAGTCCCCCCGGTCAGATGCTAGTCAAAGGCTTTTATATTAGTGCTCGATGGTCGATCGTATGTGGCGATCGACTCCCTGAGCAATGGATTCGTACTTGAATTCGATCGTCGCCCTAGTATGTGCGGAATAGTGCCATGTGGCGTCGTCCCGAGTTTTTCGAAACGGGACTTGCCGAGAGGTCGTTTCCCTGTACAGACTTCGGCTCGGCGCGAGAGGAAAGCGGTCCTTGTGTTGAGTCTATAGGAGTGTATTCGACATGGTGCCTAATCCATGTCCCAAGGGTCTGTGTTCGTGCTGACGTTAGAGGTGGATCGTGACGTGGATCATAACGCGATCGAGGTCCGAAATAAGTTTTATTAGGTACAATAAATATCTTAAAATTTTGGTATGTTATACGCGGAGCCGATTTCCGCGTGACGTGAGCATCCAAATCCGAAGCTTACCGAAGAGACGAGAAATATGTCGAGACCCGTTGGGCCCCAAATTATTGCTCTCTACAATACGAATCCGAAGCATGCCGAGGAGTCTAGAAACATGTAGAGACCGATTGGCCCTGAATAAATAAGCGCTCGCTACGATAGAACGTTCTTCGGAGAGAGAGAGGAGGGAGAGGCGAAGATGATCGAGGTGGTGCTGAACGATAGGCTAGGGAAGAAGGTGCGGGTGAAGTGCAACGAGGACGACACGATCGGCGACCTGAAGAAGCTGGTGGCGGCGCAGACGGGCACCCGCGCCGACAAGATCCGCATCCAGAAGTGGTACACCGTCTTTAAGGATCACATCACCCTTAAGGACTACGAGATCCATGACGGCATGGGCCTCGAGCTCTACTACAACTGAATCGAAAGGTTCCCTTTCCTTCTTGCTTCATTTTTAATTTGATCCTGCCATAGTTTTAGGTTTGGTTTTTAGAGGTTCCTGTTTTCTTGATAGATTACATGATCTGAATTGAAGAACATCATGGTGGTTCATAGGTCTATATTGATTAATGATTAAACGCGGGATTTAGGGTTTCATTTTGGGCAAAAGTTCGATTGAAATTAAACGCGTGAAATTACTGTATCAATTTGGCATTTTTGCATTAATAAATTACAGGTTTTTGGGTAAGTCAGTGCATTGTAAGACGTCAATGAGCTTCGAATTGTTGAACTCGGTCAGCATCTTGCTAGAATCTCTTTGTTCCAAGTAGAATTTTGATCAAGTAATGGTGGAGAGGGAAAACAGTCGAGAGCAAGTCCTCGTGGAATATTTTACTTGTTTTGTGCTGAAAATTGTAGTGCTTATGCTAGTCAAACAGTACTAGATGTTTAAAATCAAAGGGAACTCATGGATAATCCTATCGATGGAATCATTCAAGAAGTTTCATGAAAAATTTATAGTTGGCGGGGATTTAAATGATTATATAAGAAGAAATCATGGAGAATATATAGGACGAGGAATATAATAGGGAGAAGAATTAATAGGGAATTGTTTATTATCTTAACCGTGAGGCCTAACTGATGGGAATTTGTTTCCCTTACATTGCCTTCTCTTTGAACCATGGCATTCTTCGTTTCTACCTTAATTGCTTCTTGGATGATTTGGGTCAATATACACAAGGCAAAAACCAAGCTATAATTCATGCATACATGTTCTTCAGGGTACTCCAGCTTTCTCTTTCAAGTGTAAGCTACTATTGATCTTGATCCTATGGGCTGACAAATCTGCTGTAAGTGCAGGTTGGTTGATTGGTTGATCCACACATCAATAGCTGAATACAGTACGACTTGGTGAAATCACAATGTTTTCGGGTCGGTAACATCCATGATAATTGGCAGTTGTACATTCTGGTGACTCTGGTGTGTTAATGATCAGCTTGGACATGCAAATGGTTCTTATTGTTGGAAAGAATAGAAGATAAAAATTAATTATTGAAGAAGTTTTATTGAAGATAAAAAAATTTAGCTTGAATATATTAATACATATTTTTTTTTCTATTTATATAAATTATTATACAAATTAGGAGGAATGATTTCTCTCAACAGAACAGAATAAAAATAGGAAATCTTATCTTGCAAGTTGCTGGTCGAAGATAAAGAAATAGAGGATTTTTTTTAATAGAATAAAAATATTTCTTCTGGGGAAATCTTATCTTCTATCACTTATAACCTATGAGGTAAAAAGATAAAGATGAAGAAAACATGAAAGTCATTGTTCTGAAAATATAAATCTTGATGTCATTTAATATTTTTGCCAATAAGTTTATTGGGTAATAACAAGCAAATCGTAGGATACTTTTGTGTACATGTATGCTTGAGGTAACATTTGTCACCGTATGAGAGAAATTATAACTCTGATTTTTTCAATCATTCTTTCGATTTTTAAGTTGTTAACTTCTTCTCACGCAAAATTTATTATTTGATTACATTTATAATATATTTGCATTATATAAATTTTTTTATAAGATTATATACATTCATTTTATTTAAGAAAGATAAAATTTTCATATAATAATTAGTAAATTTTTAGATATAATTTTATCAAACAACTCTTATGTCAATGTATATTATTTTTTATTTATTGTTTATTAAACACACAAATAATTTTACAACTAAAGACTCACTCTTTTTTTTTTTAATATATATTAAAATACAAATGTATTTCTAATTGCACTAGTACTATATTATATGCTATAGCTCTAATTTCAACTCTCTTTCTCTCTGTCGTATGCTTTGTGCCTTCATGTATTATAATAATGATGAAGGTCTTCACTAAATTAAAGTTTAGTTTCTCGTAACAAAAGATAATTTATTTAATGAGTACAAAATTGTTTGCAACATATTTTTTTGAGCTTTTGAAATGGAAATGATTTATTGGTGTGTGTTCTTATTCTCTTTCCCTGCCTGCTTTCAATGGAAATGGTCTTTCTTTCCCTGTCATATTCCACATTCCTTAACCTTGCTTCTCCGATCTTGTTTGTGCAACAAATCTGTTTTAGGTAAAACATCACGACTTTGCCAAGATTGGACGTTTCGATTCCAATTCAGAACAGAGAAACTTGTTGTATATGTCAGGACCAAGAAGTTAGCATACAGGAAAGTAAAGAAGAAAGATGGAATACATGGAGAGGTAAGAGTGATGATACTCGAGCAAAAGGCGAGAAAAAGAAGAAAAGATGTAGTCACCTGAATCCATTCTTCTCAAAATTTGTTGGTCAATCTTTTCAGACATATATTAGTCTGTGATCAACGTGAATATTCTACAAACAAAGATGAGAAATGAAGGAGCAAATTCCACATGTCGGCCTAACAATCTCATTCATGACTTTGCATGCCTACCAAAAAGAATGTTCGTTCGTCCTTCAAGTCCACGCATGCTGTTCCTTTCATGCCTAAATCACCTGTACCATATACTTCCGAGATTTCTCAATCTTAAACCAATTCAAAGACTCTACCCAACCAATATATATATATATATATAGGAGATGTTGGAACGATCCAAATTGATCCGAGCAGTTTGATCCAACATGGAGTGGGAGTCGAATAGTGGAGACAAAGCCCTTGATCTGATACCTATAAAAGAAGATCAATGTTGGATGTGCCCGACCTGATACAATGCCCCTAGTGAGCAAAGAGAGAGAACAAAAGGATGCATATATGTGTCTCTTAAACAATTTAAAGAACATTTAATAAGCATTTTTTTTAAACTTCATACAGAGGTTTAATGTTGTGAACATTAAACTCGAACATACTTGTCTGCAAGACTTCTCTTTTATAGCTGCAATCAGTGTTTTTGTTGTGTGTGCAGAAGATTCTTGCTGCCTGGACACTGTAAGCTTTTCTTTTAGCAGTTGCTCTCAAAGTCTGAATTATTCCTTCAAAACTTGCCAAGGACTTGTCCATTTCCTCTTCCAGACGCATTGCATGTTCATGTGTGTTAGCTGCTGCAAGAAAAATTAATTTAATTTATTGTATCCCTTGTGTTGGAATAATACACCATCAAAAGATATATAAACATGAATAATTTACCATTTACTTTCTTTTGTTGGTATTGTGCATTTCACTAATGTAGCCAACAAGGGGGGCCGCTGCTTGGACCCAACAAGCTCAAGCTATTAGGTTATATGAAACCTTCTCCTATGTTTGAGCTGTGATCCTGACTTTTTAACTTGGCATCTTTACAGCATATCAGATCTGTCATCCAGATTTCATACTCACAGCTGCGAGATCAACACCGACTCAATCATGAAGTATTATTAGCAAGGAAGAAAGGTGGTGGCCACATGACATGAATGCATACATACACAACCCCCCCATGTCCTCGATCGAAGTATTAGTTGGTCGCAGCTTGCAGTAGTACCAAAGTGTAGGTGGCACGTCACATGTCCTCTCCGTTCTGGTCGATTCCCATTTGCCCTGCCACAAGAATCTGAGTTGGATTTGGTCTTCTCTTACGAGGGTGGATCTACTTCTCACGGCAAAACAGGACCGTAACTTTTGTGTCTTTAATAGCCAACATCTATAGATCTGTGATGGTTAATTACTACAACCGACACACACAACACACATAAAGCAGCAAAGCAAAGCAGCTCTTTCTTCAACATAGACCACGAAGTACAGCTTCAAATCTTATTTGCTTGAATTATAACTACAGAAAAGAAAGAGTAAGAGTGAAGCAGTACAGATCACATTCCCACCATGGCTAGCAGAAGATTTCCGAGGGTTTCTCCTTGTCAAAGCGAACGCTTCTTACAGCACAAGCGCACAGCTTACAACCTCGTTTAATCCTCTCCCTCTCCCTCCAAGAAATTAAAACTAAAGAATAACAGCATGATAATAATAACGAAGCACTACATATCTTCAAACAGTAGTCTCTTTCTTATCATCATCATCACATATATAGATATATACTTGTGGATGTAAGTAATCATGATAGCTCTTCTGGCTTCCCATCATCGAAGTTTTGTGCGTAGCCGACCGAGTCATACCTAAATCCCTGTGTGGTAGGGAGGGAGTTGGATCGCATGAGCTTCCTGATCTCCGAACGCACCCTGTGGAAGATGTGCCGCCAGCTCCCCTTGCTGTGCCACCCGAGCATGGCCGTCTCCTCCTCGTTCATCTCGATGTCCTGAGCGAACACCGGCTTCCTCGACAGGATCCACCCCCACCACGAGCCCCACCACCTCCTCAGAGGCCCACCGGCGAACTCCCCGATGGACGGCATGGACTTGCACCGCCTGATGGCCCATTCGGTGGAGACCGAGGACAAGGGCTGGATCTTGACGGAGAAAGACGAGATCCGCTTCCTCAGGCCTATCAGGTGGGTGTCCTGCTGCTGCTGCTGCACTTGGAAGGTGGGGAGCTCGTCCTTGTAAGGCATGGTGGGGAAGAACCTTTTCTTCTGGACATTCTCGAACAAGGAGCCCATGGTTGCAGGAGAAGAGAGAAGAAGAAGAAGAAGAAAAGGATTTGAGGTTGGCTTCTTCTCTTAGCTTTTGGTGGCACTTAAGGAAGGCCAAGGGTAGATAGAGAGAGAAAGAGAAGCCCAGCACTGTGGACAGGCTGGTTCAATGGGAGAACGGCGGGGGCCACGAAATGCTTTTGTCTCTGCTGCTTTGGACCCCTCAAAACTAGAGGAGGTGGAATCATTTTGGCAATTTACCAAGCAATTATATTTTTTATTAAGTTAGACATCAGCATCTCACGTTGTTCATAATTTTTTGTCCCTGGTAAGAGAAGCAGTGTGTTGATGACTTTTGTAAACCTCTGAATGTGGGACCAGGAATTTGGTGTGGGTCCTTCGTTTAGTAAGGGTAGATCCAATCTCCCTTTCCGATTTGACACAATCATTAGTTTTTGTGTGGCATTTTTCATACATGATGATGGTCTTTCTTATTCCGGATTTGCCAATTATTTCATTATTTTTCGAGAGTCGGATGTCTCGAAAAATAATCTTTTATATCATGATGATGATGATGATGATTAAGTATCAAACCCTCCTCAAAGTTGAGACATCATTCAATAAATATTTACACCTAAAACATTTAAGATCTTTCTGATCTGTCTTGTTTTCAAAGTGTTTGTTGAATTTCTTAAGTACTATGTCTTTATTAAGGGCTTTATGTCGCTTACTTTCGAAACTAATCAATATTTTCTTTTAACACCTTAGTAAGATTGCACTTATATTGGCATCTCATCATTTAAGCAAATTCAATTACTTCAATACAAAATCAATGTTCTCATTTATCACAGGGTAACTTTTTTTGAAGGCGTTAGCTATGTATGACAAACATGGAAGCAGAGGTGCAACTCTATTATTTCACCCTCGTCAGAAGAAAATAGACATCCAGAGAAATGTACATTGCAAAATCTGGGAGCGAAAACACCCAGGAGAGGTGTCGGTTCTAATGTCCCAATCCTTCCACCACGTTTCCTTCTTGCTGCCGACGCTTCTTGTGCCCCCCCCAACTCCATTCATGGTCGGTGGGAGAGAGTTGCCCAAGGTTTAGGTGGTGAATCATGTCGCCTTTGGTGTGATGGAAGGTGACACACACCCCTCCGTTAGGTAGCAAGAATTATACTATCAGCGTGACTCAATCATCAAAATCTCATCCTTTTCTAGTGGAGAAGATGTATTCTGTAGCGAGCACCCATTTATGTTCTTTCTACATGTTCCCACATACAAAACCAGCAAGCTGTCTTCACAACATGGATAAGGGTTTGAGATTTGAAGTCCAGTCACAAAGAGACAAGATTTGTCTCGATCCTGGATTTCCAGGATGATGATACCTCAACACTCTGTCATTGACAAGCTTGGAGATTCTTGGTGAATGAATACATTATATATATATATATATATATATATATATATATATATATATATATATATATATATATATATTCCATCTAATCAATTTTGCATCATATCTTCAATAAAATGATAGGGAGCCGAGAGGATGGATGATAGTATCTGTAATCCTCCTCTCTGGTGTAAATAGCAAACTAAGCTAGAGATTATCATGTTCCTCCTGATCACTATCCTAATTATGTTAATTAACGATTTACTTATACAGCAAAGTACAACAAGATATAAATGGAAAATTCAGGCAATTATTTGGATTTATTCAGTTCTCCTAGAGTTCTGAAGAAAACAAAATTTTCCTTGATGATTGTTCTTATATGTGTATCTATAATGTGATTACAAGTTCTATAAAATTTAGCTTGGAAACCATCAGGCCTTGTCACATTTTTAATCACCCAGTTAAGCTCTATTACATGGAAAGAATAGTATTAGAAATTTCTGAGGTTTCTATATATCATAAAAGTAACTTTCGATTTACATCTCCGAGCTTCATCTAATGGATTTGGACCTATGCTTAATAATATTTTCCTCAGCTGACAAGAAGTCATAATAACCTTCCTTTTGATGTTTTCTCTCATATGGAACTAATCCTGTGTTATATTTAATCTAGCATGGTCTTCTCCGCAATCATGACTAACACTATTAGTTACTCTGTTGATATATATAGCAACACCACTTGACATCAGCAAAAGACTTAATCGAAAGGCTTATGCCATTAACAAGATTCCTTACAGTCCAGAGCTACAAAGCCAACTAGTGATTTGATTAGAGTCCAGTTACACCAATACCTGTACAATTCAAAGAAATGTTTTATCTCATTGAGAACACAATTACTAACCATAGCAGCATTGCCCGAGATCCATCTTAAAGACCACTCACTATATATGAAGTGTTATCTCATGCAGTGCTTCCGTATCCAACACAATGCATCACAACGCCCATGCCCGTAGCGTTCCCTGATTAATGAAACAGCACAATGTTTCAAGGGGTTTACAATGGTGGCTGCTCTATAAATGTAGAATAATTCAGTATCTTGTATCTTCCTTCTCTCTCTCTCTCTCTCGCTCTCCTCTGCACCTTATGTTGGAAGCGAACTCGGCTTTTAACCGTGTTATCTGATGAAAACTAGCGGGCGGGCATCATTGTATGTTGAAGTTGAGCCAAGTTTATACCACAGGAAGAAATGCGAGTTTACGGCATGGGACGATGGAGTAGTAGTACATTGATTGGAATGTGGGATGGATCTTAATATACCATTCCAAACACTATATTACGGCCATTCGAATTGAGTATAGAGATTCCTGGTCTGGTCCCGTGGTGCTTGCACCAAAACACGGCCACCAAGATGGAAGCATGTTTGAAGGGAAGGGATAGAGCTTTACAGCTCATCTTTTCTTAGATGCATGCAGCTTGATCTGTTGCTTCTTTCTTTCTTTGGATTGGGTCCATCTGACAAGTCGTCTTACATGGATATCTGGCTATTTGGATTCCTCAGGCATCAGAGCCAGCTGTAAGTCGACCTTATTGGTAGTACTAATAAGATCGAGGATGGCTCCATCCCCCTCCTGCTACAAGGGGCTGTAAGTGGCATCGGGTGATTCCATGGATTTGTGAATGCTTCAGGCGCACTGGTTGACATTGGAGTGTACGCCACATCTGATGCCACCAGCCGCTTCTTAAAGCCCTTCCAAACAAAAGATATAAGGTTTGGGTCAGACAACCTGCTGCTTTTTGCCTTTTATCTGTGCTTTCGAGGACGACTTAATTGACACTGCCTACGATTCTCTATCCACCAATCTAGAAGACAACGTTACGGCGATTCAAGTGGTGTATTGAGTTGGCTGTTGCACTATTTCTTTTGCTTCGTTGGTGCAAAAGTAGAGAGCTGCTCTTGTCGCAACCTCCATTATTCGAATACACAAATTAAATATATGAACAAAAATAATTCACATTCTACTGAAATGAAATAATCTGATACAAATAGATATTATATTAAACCAAACAAGTATTATATTAATACTATTATAATCTAATACAAATGGTACTAATCCCATAAGTACCTTGTCAGAAAAAGTACAAGACAAGGTTAGGTATTGATCAATCTAATCCCAAAAGTCGAATAATACTAGTTGAAACTTTTTTTAGGCTAATTTATTGAAAAAAGCTCATACTGTTGTCCTTTTTGGGATATTATCCCATTTTTACTTGGGCCATCCTTATTTTTTTATTTGTATGGAAATACCCTTAAGGCTCTTTGCCTCTTCATCCTCTTCCTCCCCCTCCACCTTGCGTCCTCAGTGTTCTCTCGTCCGTCCCCCTCTTCGCTCTCCCCTGCCTCAGCGTCCACCTGCTACTCCCTCTCATTTGCCTTCTCCTCCTCCTCTAAGCACACTAAGAGTGACTAATCAAACTTGATTCCATTAAATCACACTAAGAGTGGCTAATCAGATGCGACTGCCATATTTGATTCCATCAAATAAGTATACAGTGTATTCAATACTCTAAGCACTTCTTTTCCAGGAATCTCCCGAATGATGAGGGGCAGGAAACAAGCCACTGGAGGAGCCCAGTCATGAACATTTAACCACTCATCAACACAAATATTTTCATCACTAGCTAAAGTCAATATCTGAATTCTGAAGTAATAAAGCAGATTATAGGACAAACACTTGCTACAAATTGATAGGTCAGGTCTTAAAACCCACAGTCGTTTCGTTTCAAGGTTTTGATGCTTTGTGTAGGCTAATATTCAGGTATGCACAAGTATTCTGGACTGAAGAAATCAGGTGAAACAAGAAGAAAGAGGAAGAGCCTGTTTTGGAGTTTGACTTTTCTTATGTTACAGGAAAAACTAACAAAACCTAGCTAAATGCACATAATAGTTTGTTCTACCTTTGTTTTTATTCAAAATTTTTATTCGTAATATAACACCTCAAAGAATTTACATCTACATACTGACCTTCTGTCACTCGAAATGAAGTTCGATAAAATAGAGAAAGATGATTTTCATACCTCCCTCTCCTAAATTTTACTGTTGACTTCAAAAACTGAATTACCTTCGTCTTATAAATTCTTAATCACGAGTAATGTTATTGTAATCGTGCTGTTGACCTCTGGAATATTATTGTGTATATCCATCTGCCTCAAGAATTTCACCACTAATCTATCCTGCAGAAGTACCAAATGTTTTCCATAATCTTGACACCTAAAACAGATTCATTATTAACAGCCCATCCTGCACAACAAAATTATGTATCATCTTTGTTTACCATAATTGAGAGTGGGTCTTGGTGTCACAGTAAGAGTTCTCCCTTACAATGTATCTAGGTGACTAGAATTTAAGTTACAGGAACAGTCCTTTTGCTAACAAAAATAAAGTTGCACATATCAATCCTCCCACAACCTATATTGGCGGGAGCCTAGTCACTATGCTACCCATTTTTTTATCTTTGTTATTCAACTTTTCCTTCAACAATCCTCCCTAAGTATAGAAGATTTCCATCATTTTTCTTTATTTTGTTCCCAACTGAATTTAGTCTCAAGCTAGAATGTAATGTCCAAATGTCTAGTTTCTTATTGTCGTGATATCAACAATTTGATATTATTTCCATCTTTAACAATATGCTTCAAGTAGTAAACCAAATCCTTACCTCCAAATACTAGCTTCTTTACCCACTGAAGCGCTATTTGATGTAAACGATACAGGTCTAGTTATCAGGGAAGCCAGATGTTATGTATGCATCGTGACTTTTCTAATGGCACGATAAAACACATAACTAAACTCAAGCCTCTCCAGAATAAGAATAGACAAAATCCTAATCTGTGGCTGCAGAAAAATTCAACTGTCAGTTTCAGCTGAAACTAATGTGTTGTTCAGAAAATTTTCTGAATATTGTCACCCTTAATTTTATAGAAAATTGTAAAAGTTTTGCTGAAATCTGAAAGCCAACCTAAAACCATTGAAACCACAAGAAGTCTCTGAAATTTCTAATGACCTGGACAAATTGATAACAAAAGTTTAACAAGAAATCCTTCAGACAAAGTGGATGAAAGAAGCAACAATAAGTATTCTTAGAAACCACCTACAGCAAGTTTTTGTAGATAAATTATAGCAGCTACAGATGGAACCAAGTGCTTGCAAAGTAGCCAAACAAGCTTAACGGATGTAATTAACTACAAATCTATCAGAATGCTCCCCTAATAGCTAATTTGCAAAATCTAAAATTCCCAAATCTGAGATAAATTTTGCTTATGTTCAGTGTTCGATAGATGATGAAAACCCATGAAGGCTTGTCCCTAATCTTTGGAGATAGCTCACAATTCCCAACACACAAAAGTAAAATGCACCCTACGAAGATCCATCAGTAAGCTGGCAGTACTTTCTTGCTTGATGCCTACATGGAGCCATCGACACTTGTACCGAAGAAGACAAATAATTTTGGTTATAGCAATGCTGGGATTTCCCAAGTCAAGAAATGCTTTAAACACAAACGATGTACATCTCTTAGCTCATCCCCAATTTCCAAATGCTACCCAAGCTTAACAACATATACAAAATGCGCAAATGATCGAATGCAATTCTCGCAAAAGACCAAGCGTACAACAAAATGCAAGAGCAGATCACCGGTTATCGAGCAAGCAAACTCACGGATTAATGGGCCTTGCTTCTCCGCTCCGGGCCAGCTTGCGGTTGCTTGTCGGTGGCTAATCTGTAGATCCAATAAACCTGAGAGGAACAAACACGTATGAAGGGCTGGAAAGGGGCAAATCGAAGAGGAGAGGGAGGAAGAGTGGCGGTTGATTACCAGGGCGAAGACATGGGCGGCGATGAGGAGGATGACGATGGCGGGGAGGAGAAAGTCGAGAATCCACGGCCGGGGGATCGGGTGCTGTTCGCCCGCCATCGAGGGGCAGTATTGTAGTGTCTGCCGCGACGGAAGAACCGAGGAGACCAAGAGAAACAGACGCCACTTCACTTTCCTCTCTTGTGCTGCTCCACAATATGTTTTTGGTTTTAGAAACAGAAGCCCGAAAACAAACTTGATTGACATTTTATCGGATATAATCAGAGTATATATATCTGATAAAATAAAGTTATATATATATAATAATTTAACTAAGTTAATTTGATTGTAACAGAAATGTTTTAATCCTAATTGACATGTTATCTGTAAAAAGATTTGTTGCCATATGTATCCACTCAACCGAGTGGCGTCAAACGCCATGAACTGATATATATATATATATATATATATATATATACATATTTTTAAAATTAATATAACGTCTCATTAATAGTATTTATACTCAGAAAATATATTAATCAAGTTGAAAGCTCGATATCTAATATATTTACTTACCAAGGGTTAAGAATTTAAAACCGATATATTTTTATACTTAAAATATTAATATATTAATAATATATCAGCACTATTAATCAAATCTTAATGATCGAGTTAAGTTGGTTAGCTTTAAAGATGTTTGTATATCATCATAAGATCTTGAGTTTGAATTTTATTTTTATTATTTATCTTTTGTTCAAAAAAAATTATCTTTATTATTTATGAAATGTTAGACATCTCATTTTAAATTTTTTTAAAATTTAAAATAATGATATTTTAGTATATATGAATTAAGAATATGAAATCTCATCCGATAAATCGTTTTAGAAGTTTTTTTTGTGTGAAAAACAAAAGATTTACAAAAGTTCCATTACTGATTTAAAATCTAAAAGTAAATAAAAGGCTGGTGAAGGGTTGACGATCAGTAGATCTACAGAGCCCTTAAGCATTCTGCGTTGGTTGCCCGACCTATGATTTAGGACGTGAGCATTAAATATCAATAGATGGTCCATTAATGGCTAATCATCAAGTCAATTGACCCTACACACCTTTAAATAGCCATTAATTTTCGGCACATTTTCTTGTGTGGTTTACTTTTTACCATAAAAAGGACCCAAAATGTACAAAGATTTCAGGCAAACATTCCCAATATCATAATTCTAAATATCATCATCCATAGAATTTTATAAGTCAACATTGATCGTGTGAATCTACACATCTTTAAATAGCCATTAATTTTTTTTCTTTGTGACCTATCTTACCATTAAAAGTATTTCAGCCAAACATTCCCAATATCTTAATTTTAATGTTTTATAAATCAATATATGATGTGAATTTCATATGTTCAAAAATTATTCGTCTTACATATGTCAATATAATTTTATTCTTTCGAAACTTGGTTTCGTATTTCTCAATCAACTCGGCTTACAAAAATTATTCGGCTTTTAAGGATAAAGGTGATCCGATAAATTCATAAGCTCTTGGTTTCGTATTTCTCAATCAACGTGGGACTAAATGTCTTTATTAGATTCACGCTAAAAGAAAAACCATGAGCCGACTCCTCTTAGGGGGAAGTACTGATAAAAACATTTAGTCTCTTGATTGAGTAGGAGAATCAAGGGCTTATAAGTCTACCGGGTCACTCTTACCCTCAAAGTTATCTTTTGGAACTCACGAGACTTAAAAGGATAAAATCGTATGAGCATACCCAAAATAAATAATTTCTCAAGAACCTACGGGACTGTGTTAATGACGATCAAATATATCAACTTATTAGATTGGTGCTAGAATGAGGGTTATGAGCTCTAGGATCCTTGAGTACTAATAAAGATATTTAGTTTCACGTTGGTTGAGAAGTAGCAAAACGAAGGGGGCTTATAAGACTGTTGGATCACTGTTATCCTCAAAGGTTTTTTTTTAAACTCACAAGTCTTGAAATAACAAAATCGTATGAGTATACTCAAAACGAATAATTCTTCATGAGCCTACGAGATCAGACTAATGATGACCAAATATTAACTTATCAAATTAGTACTAGAATGAGAGCCGGAAGCTCTTGCCTCTCTTAGGGGGAGTACTACGTCGGGTCACATTTACTTTCAGAGATATTTTTCGGGGCTTGTAAGGTAAAATCGTATAGATATACTCAAAACGAATAATTCCTTCGGAGCCTATAAGATCATATCAATAACAACCAAATACTTGACTTATTAGAATTCATAAATCATACATCCCTAAAATCCTCAACAAATACATGAGTTAGAATTTAAATGAGGTTTTTAAAAGATCATGGATTCCAATAAGCATAATATAGGCTTTTCACTAAAGAAACCTAACATGCTAATTTAGACCGGCAAGTGAAGTTAAAAAATTTCGAACACGTGCATCCATTGGCAACAAATTTTCAAACCGTATATGAAATTAAGAACTAAAATAAAGCTTCCAATCTTCGTTGGTTTTATGTCCATGATGACGTTTTAGTAATTTGACTATATATTTAATTCATTTCTTATGAAAATGATTGTATGTAAGTTATAAGACATTAGCTATAATAAAAATGTGTGCTCTCTATCTATAAAGAATAGAATCGTCAATTCGAAGACGTGAAGTGATAGAAAAGAAATATTATAATTGAGATATCGAGAATCATTTATTATTTTAGGTTGACCTATTTTTCTTGTAGGACCTCCATGTCATCATTGCTGTGAAGTTTAACGACAGGCTAAAAAGAAATTATAGTTCCTCCTCCTATGTTGCCCCCTACGTTGTCAAAAATATGGAACCAAACCAAAAATATTGGCTAGTGCTTATGAAATTTCATTTTTGATTGGAAGAGACAAAAACAAATCTGAACTTGTTATATGTTATCCAATGTTTAAACACTGGAAATAGAATTGATTACATCAAAACAAGGTTCAAATCTCTTGATTTATTAGGATGTCGCAGATGCATGTATCTTTATATTTATTGTAATGATAAATAACTGTTATAATTATAGTAACATTATATAAATAGGAATTAATCTTAATAATAATTAATTAATAAATTTATAGTGGATTAGGTATAGGATAATATTTTATAACATGAATAGAATATTCCCTCATAGATATAATAATATTATTATTATAATGCTTATGTGGCTGTCACACGGTGTGGGCCTCACCCTCTCTGTTGATCGGGCAACCATATGACACATAAAGCTGTGCACGTGCGCATAGGTCGTCTACTTGCTACAATTATCTTTTCGTTAATATAGCATATTTAATTCCTATAAATTTCAATATATCATATATTTCCTCCAAATATTTTAATTTTCATACACACCAATATATATATATATATTAAATATCGTTGTGAAGGTTATTTTTTTTAACTTTATGATTATATACAAAAAAACATTACCAGTCTCTACGGAGGACATATATATTAAATTAATATTCATAGGGAAAAAATGAAAAAATGCATCATTTAGACGAATAGAATTTGCAATTTTCTGGTCTAGACGCTAAATTTAGCTTACGACGGGGTGTAAATGAGAAAGTACTCTGAAGGATCAACAACATCGGAACGGATTCGGTACAAGCGATCACGATCCGTCCTCGGCAGCAGCTCACTCGCTCTCGCGCTCACTTTCCGTTGCTCGTTTTCGATCATGGCCTACGAAGGTGTTCTCTTGGGGATGGGGAATCCCCTCCTCGACATATCCGCCGTTGTCGATGAGGAATTCCTCAACAAGTATGTCCAGTCCTTCACCGATCCCGTTTCTCTTTCCCTGTTCTTGGTTTTCTGATGTTTAGATCTCACTTTCTGGCCTGTTCTTCGTCGCCGGCGTGTGGATTCGTGTCCTTGTTTTTTTTTCTGGTTCAGTGATCTGTTTTAGGCTCCGGGTTTCTGCTTGAGCGCGTTGAGGTCTTAAAAGTTGGCTTTTCTCTGGAGAAACGGTGAAGCTTAGATCGTTTTACTTGGATCAGTGGTTGATGATGAGATCGGATTTGGTTTCTTCTTTAGATCTGAGCTTGTGGAAATGAAGCTTGGGTCGTGGGATCAGAACAACTGCTTGTATTTATACTGCTGCTGTTCCATGCTGACAGATCCTGTTTCTTACCGATTTTGAAAGCATATGCTTATTGATTGAAGTTAGTCGTTGTCTGAGGTCACATCTTATAGATTCGAATTTTTGGATTGCATTGGATGACTTTGAAGTAATCTGAGCTGATTATTTCCTGCATTTATTTTAGATTATTGTGGATCTGTTTGTCGCTTCCATGTCCAATATGTAAAGCATGCGAAACTAATGATACTTTTTCGTAATGCACGAATCATGACTGGTTGAAGTGTTTCTTGGACTGTAGATACTTTATGTAATGTATGCTTCTCTTTGTGGGATTAATCAAGTGTTGGTACATTGCTGTAGAACCAGTTACATTCCTATATTTTATCGTTTGGTTATGCATCAAAGGAGCATACAAGAATAACTGATGATGCTTTCTGACGCACCTCATTGTTGTGGCATACAATTCATCTTTGCTGTTAACATGTTTCGGAATAGTTTTTGGTGTTACTTGTAATTTTTCTACATTGTAGAACTATATATATATATATATTAACAGTTCCTTGTGCAACTACAGTCCCCTGCTATGTCAAAGTCAGAAAACTAAAACACAAATGCGATAGAGATTGTACATGCAACAACAAACATTTCTAGGAGCAACTCAGTATGTTCTGAAATAAATTGGATCAAATATCAATCAAGAATATTAGATGCATTAACGATAATGCATATGGCTTTCTTAAGGCAAACTCTTGTTCAGGATTGGTCAAAAATAAATTATTTGGATAGTATCAAGTTAGGCTGGGTAAAATAAATCAGATAAAAGTTTAAATAATTTAATCCGGCATAAAATAACCCATTTATAGAGCCGAGTGAAAATTGTTTTAGCAACTAAAAAGAAAAGAGCATTAAAGGTAATTGGTTGGGTTAGGATAGATTATAAGACTGATATTTCAACCCCAATTCATAGGATTTTATTTCTTTGGAATTGTAACTCTTTACTTTATGACAGTTCTTCTTGAACTCAGCTTTTTGAAAGATTTTATTCTTATGGTGGTTTGTGTCCTTTACTTTCCCTTTCGCTTAAAAGCTGAACTTGGCTAATGTATTTCTTAAATGTCATATCAATAGATGATAAAGATCAGACTATCGCTTTGGTTGTACATATTGCTTCAGAAGTGTTACTTACCTTTTTGTGTTTGCCAGATATGATCTCAAGCCAAACAATGCAATTCTTGCGGAGGAAAAGCATTTGTCATTGTAAGTTTTGTCATTGCTGTCTGGTAAGTCATATTACCCTGTGCAGCACAAGACAATTTCTCCTGCCTTTATTTTTTGGGTGGCTTTTGGTCTTGCAGTGACATCAGCACTCAATTGTTTGGTTTTTGTTATAGATATTATTTTTTCATTTGCTTTCCAACTTTGATCTTTTTCTTGTCTGAAATATTTGATAGCCAATTTATTCCTTATTTTACCAGGTATGATGAATTAGCTGCAAAATACAATGTCGAATACATTGCTGGAGGTAGCATTTGGGTTGGAGTTGACTAAGTTAAGTTAATTCAGTTAACTATTAGTGTATAATCTGATTTTGTGCTATTTTGATTTGGTCAGGGGCCACACAGAATACAATAAGGGTTGCGCAGGTACTCTTTGCTTTGTTTTCAGAAATTATCTTCTATCAATAGGTTGAATAACAATGGTATTTAGCTAATCACAAATTGATTCTGTAGTGGATGCTTCAAATTCCCGGTGCAACTAGCTATATGGGTTGCATTGGAAAGGATAAATTTGGAGAGGAAATGAAGAAGAATGCAGCCGTTGCAGGCGTTAATGTAGGTCTACTTTTTATATCCTTTTTTGTATAGCATTCTCTTTACACTGACATGGTTAAATATCTTTATAAAACCTCAGTGGAATGTGTATAATTAACTCACTTGTAACACTGTTCCCTAAAAAGGTGGAATTTGTCATTTAATGAATCAACTTTTCCTCTTGGATGTTTGACCTAGTGGGTACACGAAGCACTACTTCTTATTCTGAGTAAAGCTAACATTTTTTTCTTATAATTCCATGCCATGGATTTAAGTTGTGGTGGCCCAGACCTGGAAGTACTGGTTGGCCGCTGGAAAAATTGATGCTGATGTTTTAACATCTGTCAACAACACTAAAGGGAACAAATAAAGGGGGAAAGAAGGAAAGTGATATTTTCTGAGAAATTGAGAAATTAACCTTCTCATGACTGGATCTGATTTGGTCTACCAATTCCTTAATTTTTTTCAAAGAAATAGAGAATTAGAGAAATAAATTTTTGCTAAGCTTTTCTATGGCCAATGGTTGCATTATCTTGTTGAGCTTGTTGGGAGGAATTAAAGCAATAGCATCCATGAGCAGGAATTAAACTATCGTGTATCCATTAAGTTTGATACAGTTTGTGTCAGTTGAAGTTGGTCCATTTTGTTTCACAGCTTAGTATTGTTTATTCGAGAAATTTCTTAAACAAGGAAGTATTACAGAAAAATGTGCATCCTAAGTTTTGTATGTTGATTAAAATGATACACGATAGTTGATGAGTCGAACTCGCCAACACTTTAAACAATCTTAAATGCTATTTTTCCCTTGATCAAACAGGCTCATTATTATGAGGATGAAACAGCCCTGACTGGTACATGTGCTGTATGTGTTGTTGGTGGTGAAAGGTAAGTTTGCTGACGATCATTCTTTCCTTATTTTTGTTTAATTTTCTTGCTGATAAATAATTACTTCCAAATGTTTGTTATCAAATTTTACTGTATAAATACATAATTTCTTTGTATCTTAAGTTTTGGATTCAAAAAGTTTATAATCATAAAAGCGATGGATATAGCAATTGTTCCTGTAGACGCAATCTGAAATATAGTTTTTTGAATAAACTGAAATATAATTGTATGAGATCATTCAAGTAAACCTAGAGAATAAAGGTATGGTCCTGCAGACAGGGATACCAGCCTGCATTAAGGTGAATAAAGTTGGTTAAGTTGTGAAATAATAAAATCTGAGTGTGGATATCCATAGTCAAGCAACTTTGGTTATTTTCATAGTTCATTTTTTCTTTTCCTTTGAATTTTAGTATAAGAGGCAAGGAATATTTGTTATTCATTTATGATATGATGCAAGTGAAAATGAATTTCATGATCACTTATCTTAGTGAAACATGGGATCATTAACCCATTTGTGGTTTTCTGACCACTTTGAGACATTTGTTCATCTAGACAGTTTTTATAATCATTCCTGCCATATTTTATTGTGGTTAGCATTTAATTTTCTTGCTGTAAGTCCTAGAATCCCGCATTTCTGTCACAAACAAAGTGGTCGCAGATATGTCAGCTTTCTTGCAAAAAAGTGTTGTTGTCTATAACCAGACCCTGTTATGTAAGATATGTACATCTAAACATTGGACTTCTTTTGAAATAAAAGAAATAATATTTGCAGCTTCTTTTGTCAAGTTCCATAACTAAATCTTTTGTAGATTAGTATCATGAAAATAAGCTTTCTTGTTACCTAACCGCAATTGCTAAATCTTTCTGTTTCTATTCTCCTCATCTGAGGCTGTTCATTGTAAGATCATCTTGATTTAGCAGGATATCCATCTGTTTCATTGAATTTGATCCATTTATTTCATTTTGTTGTATTGATCATTTGCCATATTTTTCTTTCATTTATGAGCAGGTCCCTAGTTGCTAACTTATCTGCAGCAAACTGCTATAAAATTGATCATCTGAAGAGACCAGAAAACTGGCAATTAGGTAACATAATTACATTGTCCTTCTTTGGTTCAATTTTTTATTCCGAGCATAAGTTCTTAATAAAAATGTAATAAGGGTGACAAGCTTGTTGTTATTGAGAAATTAGGCCTTGATATTGATATTCCTAGTTGTAATGTGGCTAAAGTATTTGGTCACTTTCTATTTTGTTATATTAGAGGGTATACTGCCTAAAAACAAACTTGGCATTTATCTGATACATGATGTTTTCAAGGATGTGGCATTCTTGTTGCATCTAAAAGAAGCTATATCAAGAAGATTTTTGGTAAATGGTGACCGTCATTGTTGCATCAATTGTCCAAGAAGAGGAGACATTCCTGTAGGTCCTTGTACAGTTTCACATTTATGGACAAGTTTTGTGACAAAATGTTGGGGAGCTTTCTGGTTTGCAATCTATATGTTATTATGTTTTGAAGTTTCCAAGGAAGATAATGCTGATGGACTTTTCAGTTGCACAGATAAGTAGACGAAGAAAACAAAGTAATACGGTTGTGCCGATGAAAAAAGTGAAGGAATATGGATAGAATATAAATCCAATAGAAAATTGATGTAGAACAAGGTAGAGAAATAGAGAGAGTAAAAGAGGAATAAGATTAGAGATTAAAGAGGAGATAGAGAGAGGAATGAGATTAGAGAGGAGAGAGAGACTAGAAGAGAGAAGATGTATTTTTTTTCATTTAAATTTAAACTCATCCATTGACAAACTCCAATATTTATAGGGGTTTAGAATCTTAGTATAAACAATGAAGACAATGATTCCTAAGAGTAATCTCCTAGAGAAAGAATTAGGATGCATTTAAGAAATCCAAATTGCGACTTTTAAGATAAATAGTAAATGAGTGCACTTAATATAAAAGAAGTCCCTAGAAAAACCAAAAAGACATTTCAATTTGCAAAACAACTCTTAGAATTTCTAGGCCAACTAATTGATAACTTCTTAGTTATTTCTTTACCTAAAATAATTTTTTTTGAAATTCTTTGTAAAGCTAATGGTTCTCTATCATTCTTCCTCAGTGGAAAACAATGCAACCCCGGAGAGTGATCTGTAAGGTATTGGTTCAATAAATTTGGTGCACAATCATAAAGTTCCTCCAAAGTAATCCAAGACTCCAAGTGACATCAAAAGTTGAAGAATCATGCCACTTGACAAGAAAGTGTTGAGTAATGCTAGTAACAGACATAACAAGGTGGTCATTAAGAATGACCTCTACGTCATCCTTGTATTGTGAGAGAATTGGTGTTTTGGAATGATTGTCACCTGTAGAAACACAAATGGACAGACAAGGAGGCTCGAAAGTACCATAATATAGAGTTAAATCCTCCACATTGAAAACTGGACTAATATTTAAGTCTGAAGGCAAATCGAGCATATATGTATTAGATCCCGGTTTTTGGATAATGGGGAAAAGATGAATGGCTCGAACATGCAAATTTTTGAATGATTTTTTAGAGAATTTCTTAGGGTGAACACGAACTAAGATATAATCGCCAACTTGAAACTTTTGACTTTTATGATGTGCATTAGCAACAAGTTTGTAACTTTCGTTACTTAGGGCAATTTTACATCGAATTTCAGCATACAAATCATGAATATGTTTAGCGAAGGAGTGAGCTAGTTATGAGGCATGATAGTCAAGTGAAAGGGGTGCAAGGTCAATGAGGGTACGAGGAATATAGCTGAGGGCAGTTTAAAATGGGCTTTTTTTGATGGAGCGGTCGATTGAGTTATTATATATAAATTCTGCAATAGGTAAGGTTAAGACCTAGTTTCTAGGTTTCTCCCCAACTAAACATCTAAGAAGATTTTTTAAGAAACGATCAACAACCTCAGTTTGACCTTTAGTCTGGGGTGAAAAGTTGAAAAGAATTTCATTGTTGTGCCAAATAGTTTCCACAAAGTTTTACAAAAGTAGCTAACAAATTTCACATCCCTATTGGACACCATGATTAAGGGAAAACCATGTAATATAACTACTTCTCGAAAGAACAATTTAGCAATGTGCGAGGCATCATTGGTCTTGTTACATAGGATAAAGTGGGTCATTTTTGAAAATCGATCAACAAGAATCAAAATAGAGTCATGACCACAGGCTATTTTGGAAAGTCCAAGGATAAAATCTAAACTCACATCTTGCCATGGTGAATGCAGAATAGGCAATGTGGTGTATAGGCTAGTATCGTGGTTGCGAGTTTTGGCAATTTGACAGGTGCAACACTACGACACCACTTGAGCAACATCTCACTTTAAGGAAGGCTAGTAAAATCTATCCTTGACCAATACAATGGTCTTATCTCGACCTTAATGACTTGCTAAACCATCGGAGTGCATTTCCTAAACGAGGAAGTCTCAAAGGGGGGATTGAATAACACACAATTTAGTAGATCGAAAAAGGTAACCATCCCTAAGAATGAAGTTTGTATGTTTATGATGGTTTCCATCTTGGACTTTTTGATATATGTGACTAAAGTTTAGACATTGGGTATACTCTTCTTTTAATTGCTTAAATCCTATGACATTGACACTCGTGATAGATAGGAGTATAGAAATTCTATTGAGAGCATCAACAGCTTTGTTTTGAGTGCTAAAACAATGCTATAGTTTTAGCTAAAGGGGAGAGAGAGAGTGATAAATAGGAAAAAAAAAAAAAAAAAAAAAAAGGAAGAAAACATGGGGAGAAGCGATGAAAACCATGATCTAATGAAATATACGAATTTTCTTTTCAACAAAAAAATTAGTAAAGATTTTGAAAATTTACCCGACACTAAGAGTTATGTGGTCCACCAATTTTGTAGGGACAATCACCCCAAAGTCCAACTGCACACACTAGGGATTGACATTGGAGGTGCAAGGACCCCAAAGTCCAACTGCACACACTACCCAATGTATAAGATTAGATAATTCTACTACTATTTGGGGTTAAGTATTTTGGGTACATGATTTTATTTTATCAAATAGTTTTGGGTTCATTAACTCTCTCCAGACCTTGCATTGGCAAGACCCTTGTACTGAGTACGTCCATTTTTTTTTTAATTTTGGGTACATTATTTTAGACTCATTATGTTTTGACTTTTGATTGTATTAATTGGTATCAAAGTAAATGTATTACTAGATATCATGAGAGCATACATAGAAAAGAATTATCCGTGTGCGGGATTAGAAGTACATCACAATATAGAGCTACGACTCTGTTCGGCATTACACATGTTGCCGGTGCTATGTGCTAAGCCTTTGAGTTTTGATGAGCATGCCAAATGATGGGAAAATTTGTCAAGAGTGGGAGGATGTTATGCCGGTTTATATGGCTAAATGAATCTACTATCGTTAAGTTGGGTTTAAGCATTTTTCTCATCAAGTGATTTTAGACATCAAATTAACAATTAGTTTTTATATTGGTCTAGATTGTAACATTTATCAAATGTGTGGATCTTCTCTCATAACAAAGATCAATTTCATAATGCATTGTCTTTTTCAAAGATGTAAATATGGTTCTAAAATTTGATACTAGTAGTTGGTCAGACTAGTATTAGTACTAAGATACTGAGCAATATACTGACCTATTTTCCCAAATTACTGAAAAATAAAAATTATAAAATAACAGTATCTGACTCATTGAGCTGTATGTTCTATTGGTGGTTCTCGATTGGACTGGTGAACATCGGTTGGTACGTACTAATCCTATTGGCTCTTTAAAATAAAGACTATTCATAGATTACAGTAAAATTGGATATGGTTGAAAAACTGCCACATTTTTGTCACAGATTATTTTTTTTACTGATTTCTGAAATTCAAATTGAGAATGCTGAAGTTATCAAACTGGGTTTTCTTTGGTCTAACTATTAAGTTGTATGCAATTTGACAGTTGAAAAGGCAAAGTACATTTACATAGCTGGCTTTTTCCTAACGGTGTCTCCTGATTCCATCCAACTTGTAGCTGAGCATGCTGCTGCAAAGAATAAGGTATAACTGTATGAGTTCTTCTTGACTTAAACCTTTTACTTTTTCCACTTGTGGGATTTTGTTCCAATTCTATGTAACTTGCAGGTCTTTATGATGAACCTCTCTGCTCCTTTTATCTGTGAATTCTTCCGAGATGCCCAGGACAAAGCTCTGCAGTGAGTGTTCTATTTTCTTCTCCTTTGTACTCTCAAAAGGTATTTCTAAACCACATTGTTCACTGATAATAATTTTCTATTTCATCCTTTTACAAAATAGTGGCTTTTATCAACCTACAAGTCTTTCTGTTTAATTGTGGTCATGGCAGGAATGGCTAAAGGCAACTACCCGCTTTTCTATTTTATTTGGCCTCACTTTATTAATATTCAACTTACATGAAAAATATTCGCAATCTCAGTTATGTGGATTTTGTCTTTGGTAATGAAACCGAAGCGAGGACCTTTGCAAGAGTCCATGGATGGGAGGTAATTGTCTTCCCTCCCTATTGTATGTAACAGCTTGTTGTATTAGACTTTCTGACCGGTTATTATGATGCTTAGACAGGAAATGTTGAGGAGATTGCAGTAAAGATCTCAGCTCTGCCCAAGGCATCAAAGACACATAACAGAATTACTGTCATCACACAGGGTTGTGATCCAGTTGTTGTTGCTGCTGATGGAAAGGTGAGTCTGGTTAGGTTTTTCTGTATGACCTTTCCATGAACTTCAAATGACTAAAGGATTTATATGATGAAACACCATGTTTGCATCTCTCATATACTATCGAGTTACAAATAAGTTAACAAGCTTCAGAATAGGCTCTGTTTCTCATGATGACACTTTTGGTATTACTGTAGACATCTTGATACACTTTGTAACAGACTTCCATCTATTTTCTATTTTAACCCTTAAAAGATTCCAGAACTTCTTCCGGGACTTCCTTGTATCTTACTGAGACATGTCCGTTTCATTCACTGGTTCTTTCTTGCTTGTTGCAACTTCCATGAATTTTTTCTGATATAGTCATCCCTTGGTTTATTCTTTTGACTGCTAGGAACAGACATCATTTTTATCTCTCACTTTGATGTTGATTTTTCTTTCTCATATCTCCCCATTGAGGACATATTGTGTCATCTAATTTTGTCTTACTGGTGTTGCAAAAAATATCTTTACAAATTACTCGACATACATAATATGAAGGGAAATTTAATTATGCTTAGCCTTATGGTATTTTGCCTGCAATTTGTAGTTTGAATCACAAATTACTGATAGACTTTTTTGATCATTGCTTTATCTGAGCAAACTGATGTGTATCTTTTTCATGGAACCTTGGCATCAGGTGAGATTGTTCCCTGTTATCTTGTTACCAAAAGAAAAGCTTGTCGATACCAATGGCGCAGGTACTTCAAAGCTATTGTTGTTGTTAACTAATGACAAATTTCTAATCGGTGTCCAACTTGAAGAGCTTATGGCACAACACCATTGGGATATTATTTAGGATTTATTAGCATAAGTTGTGCGTTAGAATTCTCGGTTCTTCTGTATCATTCTACATTGGTCCATTATTGCCACTGTTCGACTTATTGGCCATGCACTTCTTAATGAAGGTGATGCATTTGTTGGAGGATTTCTGTCTCAACTGGTCCAAGAGAAGAGCATAGATGACTGTGTAAAAGCTGGGTGTTATGCGGCAAATGTCATAATCCAAAGGTCAGGCTGCACCTACCCAGAGAAGCCAGATTTCCGGTAAAAAGAAAACCACGATGTCACGGTGAGGATTTGTCAAGATCAGGCCATCTTATCCTTCATATTAATTAGCCATTTGCTGCTACGTTGTCTCTTCAATGTTTTGGGGCTTTTCCACTTGAGAAAGTATTACTTTCAACATCGCATGGTGTAGGTGGATTTCTCCAAATGTTTACTCGTGAATTGTTGCTGTGAGAACTACTTTGCCACAAAGGATGCTGCTCATGTTACTGGCGTTGGAAAACATCCATCGGGACCTCAACATGTTATTGGAGATCTAATTTGCCCGTGCACCTTATTGGCATTGCATAAGAGACTTCCTCATCTATCATCTTGGTTGCATGTTGTTTGAGTAATCTATTATGCTAACTCATCTATCATCTTGGTTGCATGTTGTTTGAGTAATCTATTATGCTAAACATTCCAATTAAAATCTAAACTGTCGTATATAAGGGTTAGTATAGCTTGCCTTTTGATGATATTATTGAATCGTAAAACTTTTGTAGATCTGCACAAAATTATTAGTTCTTTCTTATCTTTCTTACCTTTTACAGTATAATGATAGTATTGGAGATTGATGACATGAGAGTCTTTCCTAATAATTTTTCAAGATTGGCAGGGCATTAATTTTCCAAGAATCTAATTAAATCTCTAATTTTTTTTAATCTTAAGTTATAGGGTAACGAAATCACATGTATCGTCCTCATGATCCATTGCATCTAACTTCTCATTTACTTTAAGGTTTTTCTGTAGGAGTGATTGTTTTAAAATAGGAAGATATAGTTGAGAAACCTTGTGCCAGTATCAGAACCGATGTTCGATTTCCTAAAACCTGAAACTGGCAGTTCCAATTTCGATTCCGGCTCTGTTGACTTCTGGTCTAGTTCGAATCATTATCTTTTTAATTAAAATTTTATTTAAAAATATTAAAATATTTATAATTTTATTTCTAAAATTTGAAAATAAAAATGAATGTATAATTACAATGATTGTACTTATATAAAAAAAATTAATATAAAAATGAGTAAAATTATTTAAAAAAATTATTTGCTTTCCGTATCGAATGTTTCGATCATCCCTTCAGTTATGTCGAATAGGCAAATGTTATCTTCACATATTATCTTCACATATATGTTTGAGGTTTAACTGATTTGAACATCAGGAGAATTTTCATTTAAGATGCATCCTCTCATGTTGAAAGCTTACTCCACAATTACTATTGACATCGGAGTTACTAGTATTTGCATTACAATCATCACAAAATTAGAAACTCTATACCTATAATATTATCACCAAACTCAAAAAAAAAAATTGTTTGATATATACCGAGCTCACAGTTTGAGCTTGATTTATTTTGTCTTTGTAATAATAATTTTCTTCCCTATAAATTTTACTACCCTAATAATTTGATCCCTAAATGGAGAAGTTTGGAGATAGTTTGTTGTCCATTAAGGTTACCGATATAATGGTCATATAAGTTAATGACCATTTTTTTTATTTCTATAGTTTTATTATTAATACCAACTTATACTCCTAAACTTTCATAATAAATATTAATTATTATCATTATAGTCATATATAAATTATTATCATATTGATATTCTTCTAAAGCACCGTCAATATTAATATAAATAAAAAAAATGAACAATAGGATAATAAACACCAAATAAAGTATAGACAGCATTATTAAATAGTTCTAAATTTTTTTTACAAAGATTCCAATATTATGGATATAAACTAACTTATTTAACATTATTTATAATAAAAGTATATAATACTCTTTTATACTTCAAAGATTCTGTAAGTAATTCATATATAGAACTCCATCGGATAAGAACATTCATAAGAAATCTTTTGGGTCTATTACTATTTAATTTGTAAAATCTAACTTGCTCTTTCATTACAAAAAATAAGAAAGCTTTATGATTTTTTTTTTAAATGATATTAGTAAGGTACCCAAAAATTTACGTTTGTTTTTGTTTCATGCCAACTTGTGTTAAATATTTCTTCTCGATATGCTTAAGAAAAGTTTCATATCCTCTTTTTTCTTTGAATTTAAAATTTTGATCACAGTAATTATATATGACATGAAAGGAGTTATATCTTCTTAAAGTGTAGTTTGAAAATGTCTGACTTTGTTTAGGTTGCCATATCGAATTTCTCTTATTCTGCTTGATGCTGATGTATTGGCTTTCTTGGGTTGCTACTATCAAACTTTCAAAAGGCAATGGCTCAGTAGTAGTGGCATCGGAATCAGGAAGAGAGCCTAAGAGAGATCATCTGAGCTCCTTTTGAAGCAGTGGCATCGGCGGAATCAGGAAGAGAGCTTAAGAGAAGTAGTGGCATCGGCGGAATCAGGAAGAGAGCTTAAGAGAGAGCATTTGAGCTCCTTTTGAAGCAGTCGCATCGGCGGAATCAGGAAGAGAGCTTAAGAGAGAGCATATGAGCTCCTTTTGAAGTAGTGGCATCGGCGGAATCAGGAAGAGAGCTTAAGAGAGAGAATATGAGCTCCTTTTGAAGCAGTGGCATCGGCGGAATCAGGAAGAGAGCTTAAGAGAAGTAGTGGCATCGGCGGAATCAGGAAGGGAGCTTAAGAGAGAGCATATGAGCTCCTTTTGAAGCAGTGGCATCGGCGGAATCAGGAAGAGAGCTTAAGAGAAGTAGTGGCATCGGCGGAATCAAGAAGAGAGCTTAAGAGAGAGCGTATGAGTTCCTTTTGAAGTAGTGGCATCGGCGGAATCAGGAAGAGAGCTTAAGAGAAGTAGTGGCATCGGCGGAATCAGGAAAAGAGCTTAAGAGAGAGCATATGAGCTCCTTTTGAAGTAGTGGCATCGGCGGAATCGGGAAGAGAACTTAAGAGCGAGCATATGAGAGCTAAATAGTATATTACGAGGCTCCCTTTGAACTGGTGGCCTCCACTTATCATCGGAATCGGGAAAAGAGCTTAATAAGTTGGAGCTAAATAGTATATTATGAATAATATATTATGAATAATTAACAAAATGAGTAGGTTTGATAGGATATTTATAAGGTTTTCAGATATTTTCCTTTCCTAAAATCATCCAAAACGTTATTTGATTAGAAAGGACAAATTTTATTTATTTTTTTAATATTATATTATATAATATTTATTTATTTTTTTATAAAATAACTTAAATATCTTTGAAAATAACCACTATATGATTGTTGGAAGGGGCGAACCGATCATTTGCCCCTCCTTCCTCTCCGGATTTTGTTGAGTCAGGCATCGATCGTTAGGTCGACCGTTCGAGCCTCAACGGTTGGGTCAAGTTCGACGTGGATCGATCTAATTTTATCATGTACTCATCTTATCTGCTATCGAACAGTCAACACTTTTTTATACTTCCATGCGGTCAAATAGATACTTCTTAGGAGAAGTTAGTCCCCATCTCTTCCAAAAAGTAACGAATACTTCCACATCCGGAGAAAAAGAAAAAAAAAGATTATTATTTTTTATAATTTTCCGAATCCAAGATTACGAGTGCTGCGAGCTACCAAACACTTGCTACTTACGGACGAAGAAAGATTGGCTGTCGAACGTACACGCTCGATTCGTCCATCTCAATTGGATGAGCAATTTTTGCCGTGGATTAGACACGACAAAAGCTGGAGGTCCGAAGATTTAACGAGCGCTCCGGAGATCTACCATAGTCGACGGCTAACTCGTGAGCCAGTAGATTTAGTTACCTAGGGATAAAGAAAACCGAGAAACAGAGACATGTAGCATGAGGTCTCGTTTGACATCGAGACAGATAGACACTATGAAACTGTAGACAGTCCCCTTGATATTGTTTGTTAATTTCAGATTGTATTATTGTGTATCTGTGAGGACCCAAAAGGGGTGTGAATAGAGAGTATAGAGAACAAAGAAAAATGTAATACTAACATGTTGATCAAATATCATAGTGAATTAATTATGCATATGATATGTGAGTCAAATAATAATAATAAATAAGAGTATAAAATTATTGGAATAATTAGGGATCGACGTATGCAATATGATTTCATGTAATATTATCCATAAATATAATTAATCATGCATACGTACTTTATCCGACATCCCTACCGCAAAGGATCATATAATAAGTCATATCACATGCACTAATGCAACGTCATACATGCCAAATCCAATTATTCATGTGCATCATCAATAGCAAATAGAGATACATTACTCTAACGAAATGTAGTAGATAAATAGAACCCATATCATACTCTCACTAACAAATAAAGTATTATCTCTCATCAATCTAATAAAGACACGTTTCTCCCAACAACAAATAAAGAAATCATCTATCTATCATAGTTGATAATCCATTAATCCCCAAGAGAATCACCCTCCAGTATACTAGATCTCTTACAATTGACAGAGTTTATTTATATTTTCTTTTATCAAATCAAAATCACATGTCATAACATTATCATACCATCGCATGATCGTATCATCATATCGATTAGTCAAACACAAAATCATTAGACAGTAGATCACATTAGGAGGATGATATAGGGGATTCGATCCAATTATCTATCACATCTATAGATAAATTTTTGTATATCAAAAATGTCTCAAGAGTATCACGATGAATGCATATGTGGTATCCGACATATGAGACAAGCCAATGATCGCTCTACACCAATATAGCGAACTTATGGGAATAATTAAGAATTGCATAATTAATTTTTGATCCACTTTTACAAACATATTTTTTAGATGACCAATAATATTCAAAAGGATAATTCAAAAATAATTTTGATAGTCAAAATCTTAATTTTCATATAATGTCCTAAGACATCCCACATTTGAATATCAAGATCGGATTGATTAGATTAAACATACATAACTTAATTTTCATATATTTCTAGGTGCTGGATGTACGAGTAGATCATCCACAAATTCATATATGTAAATAATATATGCATTTGTAGATGATCTACTTTCATTTAATATCTTAAATTAACATAACTAAGTTTGTAGGATAGATCCAATAGTAAGGTCGTGGGACAGAATCAACCCCACATCGGTCATCATACTTTCTTTCTCTCTCTTTTTTTTATTAATTAATTAATTATAATGTTACATTATTGATCTTAGAAAATTATTATGAAAAAAAGAAAAAAAAAAAAAAGGGTCAAGAGAGATCATCACCACATCTTTCTTTATAAATTTTTATCAATCTATCATACGTATTAAATTGATTCTCTAATCAAGATTAAATATCTCTCCGCCACCTTTCTTCGCCTTTCGTCTCACTCCCTTCTTATGGAGCATGCTTGGGGACGAAAATGAAGGTGAGCACACCCCACCGCACAATCTTGTCTTCCGC